TCTAGCTCCTGTTAGCTGACTGCAGAAGCATGAGTGAGCCCAGCTGAGCCCCATGCAATGACTAGCAAGTAGAATCGTGAGCTTAATGGTTTCGAGCCACTGTTTTGAAGTGGTTTGTAACAATACAGTAACTACCCAGTGTAGATAATTATTTTTAAGTTTATTTCTAACTGTTTTATCCTTTTACTACTGTAAGCAGGGAAGGGATAATATTTCTAGCAGAAACTTGTCAGCTGTATTCCAAACTCATTTCCCTTTCTTCCTAGCCACACTTCTGTCTTCCCTGTAGTTATAGTCAACCATGTGACTGTGTTCTACCCAGTAGACCATAAGAAAATGTGAACAGGCCTCTAAAAGACTTTGTCCATCAAAACCTCCTGCTCTGACCTTTCTCCCATTTTCTGGCTGATTGGGTACCCAGAGCAACCTTGGAAACACATGTGGAATATGACAGAGCCACCTGGTTCCTGAATGACTGCATGGAGCAGAACTCCTCGCTCCCCACTCGTGTTCCTCACCACCTATGATTGTGCTTTACATGAGTGAGAAAGAAACTTCAGCTGCGTGAAGCCATAGAAATGTTTTTCCTTAATGAACATAATTTTTCCCTCAGATCTTTTTTTTTTTTAAAGAAAATACTGGCTCTATTAAAATATAATTCACATGCCATAAAATTCATTCTTTTAAAGTGTACAATTTGAAGGTTTTTAGTATATTCAAAGAACCGTGCCACCATCACCGCTCTGTAATCTTAGAATGTTTTCACCACCTGGAAAAGAAACCCTGTATTAATTAGCATCCACTCCAGAGTCCCTCTCCTGCCAGTAGTGGCAACCACAGTTCACTCTCTGTCTCTGGATTTGCCGATTCTGGACATTTCATAGGCATGAATATATATGATATGTGGTGCTATGTGACAGCTTTCTTTTACTTAGCAGAATGTTTTCTTTAAAAAAATTTTCGTAGCTTTTTCTTTATTTCAGATACCAATTCGAACCAGATACTTAGCATAATGTTTTCAAAGTTCATCCACATTGTAGCATGTGTCAGTACTTCATTCCTTTCTGTGGTTCAGTAGTATTCCATTGCATTGGTATATCACGGTTTGTTTATCCATTCAACTGATGGACATTTGAGTTCTTCTGCTTTCTTTGCTATTGTGTTGTTCTGCTTTGAACATCCACATATGTTATCGATTGAGTTGTGGCCCTCCAGACTTCCTGTGTTGGCAGCCTACCCTCATCATGACAGCATATTTGGAGGTGAAGCCTTTGGGTAGATAATTAAAATGAAATGAAGTTGTAAGGGTAGGGCCCTAGTTTGATAGGACTGGTTTCCTTATCAGAAGGAGAGACACAGGCCGGCCGTGGTGGCTCACGCCTGTAATCCCAGCACTTTGGGAGGCTGAGGCAGGTGGATCACGGGGTCAAGAGATCGAGACCATTCTGGCCAACATAGTGAAACCCTCTCTTTACTAAAAATACAATAATATTAGCTGGGCTTGGTGGTGCATGCCTGTAGTTCCAGTTACCCAGGAGGCTGAGGCAGGAGAATCACTTGAACCTGGGAGGTGGAGGTTGCCGTGAGCTTAGATCTCGCCACTGCATCCAACCTGGCAGCAGAGTGAGACTCGCAACAGAGTGAGACTCTGTCTCAAAGAAAAAAAAGAAGTAGAGCCTCTTCGTGCACAGATGCACAGAGGAAAGGCCTCGTGAGAAGATGGCTGGCTGCAAGCCAGGAAGAGAGCCCTCACCAGACACTGAATTTGCTAGCATCTTGATTATTAGCCTCCAGAACTGTGAGAAAGTAGATGCCTGTTGTTTAAACCATCTAGTTTATGGTATTTTGTAGCAACCTGAGCAAACTAATGCAATGTGTAAGTGTTTGTGTGGACATATATTTTCATTTCTGTTGGGTATATACTTTAAAGTAGAATTGCTGGGTCTTATGGTAACTCTTTGTTCAATATTCTGAAGAATTGCCACACTGTTTTCCGAAGTGGCTGTGCTGTTTTCCAGTCCCACCAGTGGTTTATGAGGGCCCCAGTTTCTCTATATCCTTGCTTAACATTTATTGTTGACTGCCTTTTTAATTACAAATGACAGCTATCCTAGTGGATGTGAAATGCTGTCTCACTGTGATCTTGATTTGCATTTACCTAGTGATGTTGAATATCTTTGCCATTTGGATATCTTCTTTAAAGAAATGTCTATTAAGATTTTTGCCCAATTTTTAAAAACTGTGTTATTTCTCTTTTATTATTGAGTTGTAAAAGCTTTTTAAATATATATTCTGGCCGGGCGCGGTGGCTCAAGCCTGTAATCCCAGCTCTTTGGGAGGCTGAGGCGGGCGGATCACGAGGTCAAGAGATCGAGACCATCCTGGTCAACATGGTGAAACCCCGTCTCTACTAAAATTACAAAAAATTAGCTGGGCATCGTGGCGCATGCCTGTAATCCCAGCTACTCAGGAGGCTGAGGCAGGAGAATTGCCTGAACCCAGGAGGCGGAGGTTGCGGTGAGCCGAGATCGCGCCATTGCACTCCAGCCTGGGTAACAAGAGCGAAACTCCGTCTCAAAATAAATAAATAAATAAATATATATATATATATTCTGGATACAAGTCCCTTGTCAGATATGTGATTTCAAGATTTTTATCCCATTCTATGGGCTGTCTTTTCACTTTCTTGATGATCCTCTGAAACAGTGTTTTTAATTTTGAGAAAGGATAATTTTCCTACTTTTTTCCTTTTGCTGTTTGTGCTTTGGTGCAGTACTGGTTAGGTTTTGACATCAATTTTATATTTACTTCACAAATAACTGGAAAAATTTTCTTTTCGGAACAACTTAAATAGTATAGAAATACTTGCTATTTTTATTTGGTAGAACTTTTCTGTGAAACCATTTGGGATTGGTGCTTTTGGGGCATGGGGTTGCTCTGGTCTTCCTTCTTAGCTAGAAATGCCAATTTTTTTTTTTTTTTTTGAGATGGAATCTCGCTCTGTCGTGCCCAGGCTGGAGTGCAGTGGTGTGATCTCTGCTCATTGTAACCTCCGTCTCCTGGGTTCAAGCCATTCTCCCGCCTTAGTCTCCCAAGTAGCTGGTACTACAGATGCCCTCCACCACGCCTGGCTAATTTTTGTATTTTTAGCGGAGACAGGGTGTCACAATATTGGCCAGGCTGGTCTCAAACTCCTGACCTCAGGTGATCTGCCCACCTCAGCCTCTCGAAGTGCTTGGATTACAGGTGTGAGCCACCGTGCCCAACTGAAATGCCAGTCTTAAGTTATTAAATACATGGTAGAATGTCTGGTTACAGTTTTTATCAGTTTTGTAGAGGCAAATTTTTTTGGTGGGCTTTTTCTGTCTGTAGTAAAATTCTGTTGCTCTCTTCCTCTTTTTCCCTAATAGTATCTTTTTTTTTTAAAAAAGCCTATTATTGAGTAAAATTTATGTACAAAAAAATGACATCCATTAAAATATATAATTAAATGTATTTTGACAGATATAGACCTATAGCTGTAAAACTACCACCACATTCAAGATACAGAATGTTTATATCACCCCACAAAGATTCCCCGCTAGACTTAGGCAACCACTCACCTCCTTTTATCAGTATAGATGAATTTGTGTCTTCCAGTCTGTTCCTGTGTTAGTTATAATTGTGTGCATATCAACAGTTCATGGTTTTTCTTGCTCTGTAGTATGATATCACATATATACACCACAGATTATCTTCCCTTGTTTAGGGACAGCTGGGTATCCTATAAGGGATCTTGGAGGCTGAACACTAAGACCCTAGGGGGTTTGTATTTCTTTCTCTCTTTTTTTGAGACAGAGTTCCATTCTTGTTGCCCAGGCTCGAGTGCAATGGTGTGATCTCAGCTCACCACAACCTCTGCCTCCTGGGTTACAAATAAGTCTGCTATGAACATTTGTATACACATCTTTCTATGGACTTAGACTTTCATTTCTTTTGGCTGGATACTTAGGAATTGAAAGGCTGGATCACACAATTATCTAATAGCATCCGGGATCACACAGTTATCCAGTAGCATCTTGGTGTAGATTCTGAGCTTGGTTTTCTCTTTTTTAACACATAGTTAAAAGGGTTGGATTTTATCAAATCAGCTCTTTGCACTGGGTCTTATGGGGTGAGGAGGGTGGGAAGAGAGGGTTCCAGGCAAACTTCCAAAGCCTGTAGTCCAAGGACACTGGGTCTGTTGTGACTAGAGGTGCTCTTCCCTCCGACGCAGCACCTCTGCGTGGCCGCCCCTCCTCTACCTCTCTGAACCTGTGGGGCTTGAGAGGTTTTTATACTCCAATCGTGCACCTCCACAGGGGGAGCCTTTCTTGTGTTTAGAAGGCTTCTTTTTTTTATTGCATTTTAGGTTTTGGGGTACATGTGAAGAACATGCAAGATTGTTGCATAGGTACACACATGGCAGAGTGATTTGCTGCCCTCCTCCCCTTCAGCTATATCTGGCGTTTCTCCCCGTGCTCTCTCTCCCCACCTCTCCACCTGCCCATCCCTCCCCCATTTCCCCCCCACGGACCCCAGTGTGTAGTGCTCCCCTCCCTGTGTCCATGTGTTCTCATTGTTCAACACCTGCCTATGAGTGAGAACATGCAGTGTTTGATTTTCTGCTCTTGTGTCAGTTTGCTGAGAATGATGGTTTCCAGGTTCATCCATGTGCCTACAAAGGACACGAACTCACCATTTTTGATGGCTGCATAATATTCCATAGACAGGTACATAGAAGGCTTCTTTAGAAGGTGCTTTCTGAGAATTGCCACCTCTGGGCCACTCTGGGCAATTAGCCTATCTTCTCTTCATCTTAGCAGCCCTCGTGCCTGTTCAATCAACAATTCCCACTTGGGGTTGGGGAAGATTCTCCTTCATCTGGACATTTCCAGGTTCATGTACCACAGGGCCTCTCCTGACTTGGCAAGCTCTGCCTGCCCTGAGGCTCTGGCCTGCATTCTCTGTTGTTCTTGCAGGACTCGGGGTGGTGTTCATGTGCACAAGGATGGGCTGACGGTCACTTCTCCAGTCCTAATGTGGGTCCAGGTAAGCGTTGGGATTCCTGTTCTCTTTCTGTCCCCAGCCTGTCTCACTGGCAGACTCAGTGATTTGCTAGGAAGCCCAGAGGTGGCAGCTGATGAGAGCCTCTGTTGAGACCAGGTCCTCATGGGAAAGTGGAGTTGGCATGGCTCCTGGGACGAGGCTCAGTCTCAGCTGGTGCCAACACTCCCGGGCTGAGAGGACTCACAAAGGACTTTCAGGTACTGGAGCCACAGCAGATGGCAAGTCCTGCCATAATCATCTTTAAAATACCGCAGAGCAAATCGTTTCCCAACCTCTGCAGTCAGGCCCTGTGGCCTCCCTTGTACCATGAAATACAAACATAGGCTGGGCGCAGTGGCTCACACCTGTAATTCCAGCACTTTGGGAAGCCGAGGCAGTGGATCACTTGAGGTCAGGAGTTCAAGACCAGCCTGGCCAACGTGGTGAAACCCCGTCTCTACTAAAAATACAAAAAATTAGCTGGGGATGGTGGCACACGCCTGTAATCCCAGCTACTTGGGAGGCTGAGGCAGCAGAATTGCTTGAACCCAGGAGGCAGAGGTTGTGGTGAGCTGAGATCACACCATTGCACTCCAGCCTGGGCAACGAGAATGGAACTCTGTCTCAAAAAAAGAGAGAAAGAAATACAAACCCCTTAGGGTCTTAGTGCTCAGCCTCCAAGATCCCTTAGCTCCCTACACACTCAGAATGGCGAGTTACGGCCTGCCCAGTCAGACTCAGCTCAATCCCAAGCCAGGCCTGCCTGCTGAGGATCAACAGGAAAGGAGAATCCCTGTGGCAAGATCTGGTGACCTAGGGGGCCACTGGAGGGGATGTGAACAGCACAGACAGGCATGGTAGTGCCAGGGGCCACCTCCTCACATTGCTACAGGGTCCCCAAGTCCCTGAAACTGGAGGCCAGCTAAGTGCGTGTCTGCCAAAAGCTTTTTTCAGTCCTCCAATATCTAACCAATTCCCTGTATTAAACTCTTTTTGTTAAAAATAACTAGTACGATTTCTTTTTTATTGGTGTGATTCTGACTCATACACTGGAGAATTAGGGTCAAGGATGGATTTTCTCCAGACAAACCAGATAGACTGTACTTCAGAGGGCTGAGCCAGACCAAGGGGCAGAGTGGGAGGGTTCAGGGTTAGAGGCAAGGGTCAGTGTCAAGAGGTCCCAGTGATGATATCAAGGGCATCTGATAGGCCAAGGCCTTCACCTGGGGAGGTGAGCAGTGGGTGAGAGAGCCAGGCTTGGGGTCGGGCCAGGGTGATTTCTGATCTGATGCAGGCTTGTGGATCAAACTTGATCCTAGCTTTGCCAACCCCTGCTCCAGCTGTGCCCCACTCCCTGCCCAAGGTCTGGTGGGCGTGGATAGAGTTGGCAGCCACAGCTAGGGTTGCAAAGGCTGGGGATGGTAAAGTCAGGCAAAAGTGGGAGAGGCTTCTCTGCCCTCAGGAAAACACAAATCAAGAGTGAATCTCTAAGTCCTGCTGTGAAATCTTAGGAGGGGTGATGTCAAGGTCTGCTGGGCACCACCATCCATCTCACTCGTTGGGTTTTGCTAGAAACAAGAGTCCAGCCTACGATGGAGGCTGGAACAGGTGGCCACCATCTCTGCCCACTCCCTCCAGCCTTTGGCGCCTGGACACAGGGAGTCCGGGCCTGGTGTTCTGCTCTCACGGGAGCTCTCTACTTTGCTGACTTCCTGTTGCAGTGAAGCCAGATCACCAATACAGTGAGTTGAAAATGTAAATTAAACAAGCCAGAAGTTGGCTGCCATATTTTGTTGTTTATTTTTGAGATAAGGTCTCTTGCTGTTGTGCAGGCTGGAGTGCAGTGGTGTGATCAGGGCCCACTGCAGCCTCAGTCTCCTGGGGTCAAGTATCCTCCCTCCTCAGCCTCTTGAGTAGCTGGGATCACAGCCTTATGCCACCACACCCAGCTAAATTTTTCATTTTTTGTAGAGATGGGATCTCACTGTGTTGCCCACGCTGGTTTTGAACCCCTGAGCACAAGTGATCCTCCTGCCTCGGCCTCCCAAAGTGCTGGGATTACAGATGTGAGCCACCTCGCCTGGCCTGAGCTACCTTGTTTATGCTCTTCCTGAGTTTGGAAGTCACAAATTGGGGAAGCAGGGCTGCATGTGGTGGCTCATGCCTGTAATCTCAGCATTTCAGGAGGCATAGGCAGGTGGATTTCATGAGCCAGGAGTTTGAGACCAGCCTGGGCAACATGGCAAAACCCCATCTCTACAAACAAACAAACAAAACAAAACAAAACAAAACAAACACCCAAAAATTAGCCGGCCATGATGGCATGTGGCTGTAGTCTCAGCTACTCAGGAGGCTGAGATGGAAGGATCACTTGGGCCTGGGAGGTCGAGGCTGCAGTGAGCTGAGATTGTGCCACTCCATTTTAGTCTGGGAGCCAAAGCAAGACCCTATTTAAAAAAAAAAAGGGTGGGGGAAGTAAAATTTGAAGATTGGTGGTTTATGATGCCATTTATTTAAAATATTTTTAGCATAGTTGATCTTATTTGATTGATGCCTATTTGTTTAATTAATGTCCTCTAGTGCTTACAACTCCCAGAGTCATCAGTTTCTTCATCATCTGCCTAGTCCTCTGCTGTAATGGCAGGCCCTTGCCTTTCAATTCTGAGGCTTGCATGTCTGATTCGGTGCTTCTGGACAGTCATGGTGGGTTCTGCGTTTCTTCTCAGGCACTGGATGTCATCTTGGAGAAGATGAAGGCTTCGGGCTTTGACTTCTCTCAAGTCCTAGCTTTGTCCGGGGCAGGCCAGGTTTGTCTGCAGCAGGCTGTATCTGCCATGTGAGGGGTGACCTGGGCAATGGTGTGGGTGTCGAGGAGATGGCTCCCCTTGGAGGGGAGAGGCTCATTCTTGACAGCCATGGCACAAATTTCACTGTGAGTAAAAATCCCTACAACTGTTTTACCTTGGAGACTGTATAACTTGTCTCGTTGCAAAAGGATCTGAGACAGTTCTTAGGAATAGGTATTATATAAAATAGGACTCGTGGTGAGAGAACTGAGGAGAGGTCCTCTGAAGGGGATGGAGGAAGCAATTGACCTGGATTTATGATGACCACGTGGGGGCACCACAATTGCTTTTCTATTTCCTGAAAGTAAAAGCAAAGTCAAAAATGATACTAATAATGATAGTAGTTTTAGCAGTGAAAAGAGTATTAATAACAATGTCAGAAGACATTGACTGAGCGTTTAGCGCATGCCAAGCAATTAGGGCATGCCGAGTGTTTAGTGCATGCCAGATAACTCTGAGGCCTTTCCAGATGTCATCCAGCTCAGTCCTTACGATTCTACAGGGTGGTGCTGTGGAGTGCTAGGTACACACTCAGGGCATCCTGCCTGGGTTTATCCTTGACTCTGCCATTTACAAGCAGTGACCTGGGATACGTCGTCCAGCTTTCTGGTGCCCTGTATTCTCATCTGTCATAGGGTCATTGTGAGTGTCAATATATAGCCCAGTGCCTCCTATTAATACGCGGTAAACCTTATTAAACCTTATTAAGCCTTATTATCACTGATGTTTACGTGAGACATGGAGAGGTGATGCCACTTGCCCAAGATCACACAGTGCTGGGAGTGGGAGTCAGGACCCAAGTCCATCTCATCCGGTTCCCTTGACTGTGCGGGGATCACTTTTCTCCACGCTGGATTGCCGTCTTTTCAGTATTCTCCCTAGAATACAACTAGTTTTTCTGAACCTGCTTCTTCCTCCGTGGCCTAACGGGAATTTATTGTTCCGGTTCTTGTTAAACACAACAGAGATTCCCTGGGTGATCTTGTCCACTTCTCTCACCTGAACCCCGGGCCTGGATGCCCATCTCCCTCCTGGATATTCCCTGACCCCCTTAGCTGGATGTCCCACAAATGCCTCAAACTTAGCATGTCCCAGACTGGGTGCTGTCTCCCATTCTCTCCATCCACGCAGGGCACAACTCACGCATCATCTCTGACTCCTCCACCTTCCCACCCCACATCCAGGGGTCTTCATGTCTCACTGATTTGCCAATGGCTCTTGACTCTACCGTCTCTTCTCCAGCACTGCCTCTGTCCCTCAGGCCACCTGCTTGTCATTCTTCTCCAGGCCTCTACCACAGCCTCCCCACCTCCAGCCTGCCTTCCCTGTGACTCCCACAAGCCCATCATACATTCAGCTCAGTCCATACCACTGCCCTGGTAATCCAGAGTTCCCTGCCACTTCCAAGATAAGCCCTGGCCTCCTGAGCATGGCTTCAGGCTCCCAGTGCTCAGGCTGCCCACTCTTTAGCCCGTCAGCCACCCCCGACCCAGCCTCAGGCCCACTGCTTAGAATGCCACACAGATTCTCTGCATGAGCACACACTGGGACCCTTTCCTGATATGACCACTTCCACCCATCTGTACCCAGTTGGTTAGGGGCCTCTGTTCCCACGGCCCTGTTGCTGCAGCTCCATAGGGTTTTGTAATTGTGCATTTGTGTCCCTTTCCCTGACTCAACTCCATTAGCCTGAAGAATAGGAGCAATATCCTGTTCATCTGCCCCAAGCCTGGCTTGACCTATGTGCTTAATAAATGTTTGCTGAATGAATGAATGCATGAATGAAGGAGGTGTGTGAATAAATACATGAATTTCAGATAATATTACGAGCAATGTCTTTAAATGCAGTTTACAAAAGCCACCAAAATCCAGAACAACAATTTGTTCTTGGACCTTCTGTATAAGTTGTAGGGTAGACAGGGCAGAGTTCCTCCCCATTTTCTTGATGTGGAAACCGAGTCTCAGGAAGGTGATGAGCTCTGTGACTAAGAAGTAGCAGGGCAGGTGGTGGAGTCTGGTTCTTTGGCATGTGGTCTGGGGTCTTTCTGTGTCCTCTAGGAGGCGGTGACTCCAGTGTGTGGTCATGTGAACATGTGCTTGGGTTTCCCAACAGCAACACGGAAGTATATACTGGCAGGCTGGAGCCCAGCAGGCACTGAGAAGCCTCTCACCAGACCTCCCGCTACACCAGCAGCTGCAGGTAACTGTGGCTACATTGCGTGATTCTGAGAAACTTCTGCAAAGCGGGGAGGAGAGTCCCAAATTCTGTGGGTCCTGAGGCCTGCCGGTCTCAGTGTTGCAGCTGTGCTTGGGCACCCTCAGCAGAAGAGCCTTTCAACCTCAGGTGTTTGGGGAGAGGCCCCACTGGGCCAGTTCTAGCTTACAGCACAGAGGGGTGGCCCATGTGTCTCCAACCAAGGTTACCTGGGAAGAAACGTCACAACTGCCATGATGGGTGCTGTGACCAGCAGCTCTCCAAGTCAGCAGATGGAGCTCAAGCCTTCGCCTTTGCCCTCCTTCCTAGGCCTGTTTCTCCATCAGTGACTGCCCGGTGTGGATGGACTCCAGCACCACAGCCCAGTGCCGCCAGCTGGAGGCTGCTGTGGGTGGGGCTCAGGCTCTCAGCTGCCTCACAGGCTCCCGCGCCTACGAGGTAGGCTGGGGATGGAATTGGATGCAGGGGGTGGTCTGGTTGCAGGCTCCGGAGGCATAGTGCATGACCTGCCTCTGGGGGGTTCACATGAGGTCATGGAGGTCTTGGCCCTGCAGAGCCAGGAACAGACACTCTGGGCCCTGGGTCCTGAGCCAGGCCACCTGCTGCCCTATGTGTTCGGAGGCCAGGCTGGGTGTGCCCGTGACTGTGCTCCTGACATGGAGGTGCTGTGCATGGGGGTGGGGAGGGCACCTCCTCTCATTGTCTGTAACCTGGGGATTACAACAGGATTATGTTTTGGGTAGGTTTGAAGCTAAAAGAAGTCAGTGAATATAAAGCACTTAGTGCAGTCCCTGGGAAAGTTGTTTTTTTTTTTAAAAAAGAATGTTGGGCCAGGCGCGGTGGCTCACGCCTGTAATCACAGCACTTCGGGAGGCCGAGGCGGGCGAATCACAAGGTCAAGAGATCGAGACCATCCTGGCCAACACAGTGAAATCCCGTCTCTACTAAAAATACAAAAAAAATTAGCTGGGCGTGTTGGCACACACCTGTGGTTCCACCTACTCGGGAGGCTGAGGCGGAAGAATCGCTTGAACCCAGGAAGCGGAGGTTGCAGTGAGCCGAGATTGTGCCACTGCCCTCCAGCCTGATGACAGAGCAAGACTCTGTCTCAAAAAAAAAAAAAAAAAAAAAAAAAAAAAGAATGTCTCTGTTCTACTGGTTCAGTCATGTCCCCAGGGGTGACTTGATTAGGCCAACCTGGATCACATGACCTCAATGGAGTGGAAGCTTTGGGGATACGCCCAACCCTACTTGGGCCACCTGAAATATGAATATATGGATGGGGAAAATATCCAGATCCCACCTCTGGTGCCTCAGTCAGAATAGTCACCATGCTGTGTGAAGAGCGAGTGTTACTCAGCGTTGTCCAGTCCTGATGTGGGAGAGGCCCTCCAGGAAGGCCCAGAAGTTTCTCATTTCTCTGTCCTGTGGGTGCAGAGCCATTGTTTATTTCCTGGGTTTTTGATTACTAAGGACATTTTAAGGATTCAAAGGCCAAATTCGCGTTGTTCAGTAGATATCAAACAGATTTAATGCTGACTTGAAAAAGGTGCATTTATTTGTTAGAGGTGGGGCCTCACTGTGTTGTCCAGGCTGGACTCCTGGGTTCCAGAGCTCCTCTCCCTTCAGCCTCTTGCGTAGCTGTGATTACAAACATGCACCACTGCCCCCCATTGGGGCTTACTTTTAAAAGCTTTTATGATAGCCGCTCCTATCCAGAGCATGTTACGTTAAACTCACTTTATGAGGGTGATTATTCATTCTGTGTCGGATTTGGGTTCCTAAGAATTTATATTCCTTTTCCAGCGTTTTACAGGAAACCAAATTGCAAAAATTTACCAGCAGAACCCCAAGGCCTACTCACACACAGAGGTTGGTTAAATGTTCCTGTTTGATTGAAAGTCACAGTTGAATTCCTTTCCTAATACGTTAGAATAGATACATCTTATGTGCAGTGGCTAAAAACATTGATAAGCAGACACTAACAAATGATATATTTGATTTGCTTTTTTTCTTATTGTCAGGACATTTCCAAAGAGGAAGGGAAGAATGGAATGTGGGAAAGAGAAGCAGGGGTTCTCCTGACCAAAGGGCGAGGGTGAGGGTCCAGGTGGGAGCACTGGGGACTGACGTGTTCCTGAGACCACCTGAGGAGAAGATCTGGGCATCTGAGCAGGCTGTGTCTGCTCACTTTCCTATGTGGTTAACTCAGGAGGACTGCCGGGCACATGATTGGCATGGAGTCAGTGTTTTCTTTGGAAATGTGTAGGGCTGGCCTTTGTGTCCCCAGCTATGGCCCTTCAGCCAGAGCCTCTGTCACAGGAACCCAGGTTCATTCCTGGCTCCACCATTGCTGAAGCCAGCCCTTAATGCTGCCTGAGAAACAGCCCCACACCCTGGCTAGGGATTTTCATCTTGTGATAAGAAAATGATTAGCTCACTTTAAACCAAAGAACCTTTTTAATCTTAGAAATTAACATGTGGTTTATTTTTCAATGATTCGAGGTTCCAGATTACTCTGTAGCATTAGCTACGTTAATGAATGTAGGCTTTGGGTGGAGGGCTGAAAACCCTCCCCAAATTCTGTATGTGGAATGAAGTTGGCCTGACAGAGGACGGGAGCTGCTAACAGTCTCTCCATGGTTCCAGAGGCCCATGATGCCCATGTGGAAGTACAGACCCTCAGGGTGGCACTGAAAATCCGTCCTCTGTTTCTCTGGCTAGTGCTCAGAGTCTGTGGCTTCTGAGGAGCCAGCTTTCCTGAACTCCTCAGAGTGTTCTGGTTAGTTCTGAGGCCACACATCCACTTTCCTTGTGACCAGAAGTAAATGCCAGAGAAATAGAGGAAGGAAGTCGGGGCACACATTCCCCAGGATGTTGCTTCTGGATGGAAAGGCAGCCTCCCTAAGCCCTTTCTCACGGGGCTTTTGCTTTTTGTCTCTTTTGAACTTGGCCCTTTTATGGCCCATCAGAAACTGCAGAGAATCAATGCTCTCCGTTCATGGTGTTCCCGCTGCTCTTATCTGAGATGCATAGTCTCCACTATTACTTGGGCCTTTTGCTCAAAGTTTCTGCTTCCCTGTCCAATTGGAAACTTTTTTTCCGTGCTGTGTGTGTGTCAGAAGCATTCAGTAGTGTAGGGTGTGTGGGAGCGAGTTGCCTCACTGCTTCTTTCTTTTACAGAGAATTTCTTTGGTCAGTAGCTTTGCCGCTTCCCTGTTCCTTGGCTCTTACTCCCCTATTGACTACAGCGATGGTGAGCCTCGGGGTCTGGGGTGGGTCCCTGGGCAGCATGCATGTGGCATGTGGGCATGCAGGCAGTGGGAGCCCCATCTACCCCAAGTAGGTGCCAGTCTTGTAGCCCTGTCATCTATTGCCAGGAAGGGAGTGTATTCATTATTTTTTGCTGCATAACAAATGACCCCAATACTTAGCAGCTGAAGTCCACTGTGTTTATTTTTTCACCTGGTGTCGGAGAGCCAGGAATGTGGGGGCAGCTTAGCTGGGAGATGCTGGCTCAGGATCTCCCACAAGGTGGCAGTCAAGCTGGCAGCCGGGGCTGCAGTCATCTGAAGGCTCAACTGGGGCTGGGGATCCACTTCCAGCATTATGCAGGAGGCCTCAGTTCCTCACATGTGGGCCTCTTTATGGGGCTATTAGTGACTGCGGAGAGGGAGGGAGGAGAGGGGGAGAGGCCATGCAGAAGCTGCCGAGTCCTGTCTTACTGCTCACATACTAGGTACACTTGACCCAGTATGGTGTTGTGGGGAACCTCATAAGGGGTAAGCACCAGGAGGTGGGGATCAGCAGGGTCGGTCATGGAGCCTGGCTCCTGCAAGGAGCTAGTAAAGCTTTTGTTTCACATTTGGTGAACTCCAGAGATTTGTGAGCTTCGAGAATCAAAATCCTGACAAAAACAAATTGCAGATGGTGCCTGTGAGGAGGGAAAGCTGGGAGGAGGTTGCTGCAGGAACTCTTGGATGAGTCTAAGAGTGAGAAGAGTGTGGATAGAATGTGGGTGGAGGATGCAGGGCTGGAGCCCAGACCCGTGGATGCTTTCAGAATGGAGCCCGGGGTGCTCTGAGCCTCGTGGGCGCTCATGGGAAGTTTTTGAGGGCTGTTGTATGCCAGGCAGTATTCTGGTTTCAGGAGAGAACGTGGCTAAGGAGCAGTGCTGAACTTCCCTCACAGACTGGAAGAGGCGACAGGGCTCCCTACAGCTAGCTCCATAGGACAGTAAACTTGGAGTAGGCTGCATGTCCACCTGTGTTCTACACACCTGCCCCAGGACTGATCACCGCAATAGCTGCTCCAGGGGGCATCGCAGAGGTTCACATTCCTCAGCCACAGCTGGGCTGTCCACTCTGCTCCCCTTCACTCACTTGAGATGTCACCTCCTAACTTCACCTGGGCAGGTGACACCATCAGCATCCCAGTCCACCTCTGCCTGCCTCCACCTTGGCCCAGTGGAGGAGGAGGTCCCTCCACCAATGCTCTGGATTTCCTCTCCTTTCCCATCCTCAGGGAAGCCTTGGGAGAAGGAGGATGTTTTGGGAAAGAGCTGGCAGGTTGATCTCAGTGACCAGGAGGAAGTTTAGAGGAGTCTGAGAGCTTTTTTTGGAAAGTCAATTAGACTGAGCAATCCTGGGGGCTGACCTGGAAATCTAAGGAACTTGGAGAGTAGTTTCTGGTTCAATGTGGTTCCTGGTTCAGAGTGGTTCAGTGTGTAGTTCCAGCACCCCCCCGGGAGGTCTTTGAGCAGCAGATTTCCAAGCTGACTCTACTGTTTGAGCCAATGAGGAATATTTAGAGGAGGTGTGATGCTATCTGTTTCCAAGAGCCCCTCTGGCCTCTGGTTCTCTGGTTCCAGAACAACACAAGTGTGCATACATTCCATGAAGGGAGAGCTCCAGGTACAAGTTGTGGCAAGAGAATTATCTGCCCTCTGCCAGATTTGTGCATTTTCACAAAAGGTCTGTTTTCAAGATGTGTCTGTCGTTTGTCTCCTTCCGTCTTCAGGTTCTGGAATGAATTTGTTGCAGATACAGGATAAAGTCTGGTCCCAGGCTTGCCTTGGCTCCTGTGCACCTCATTTAGAGGAGAAGCTTGGCCAACCAGTACCATCATGCTCAGTTGTGGTAGGTCTCCTTTCTGGCGATGTGGCTCATTTCAGAGCAGGCAGCTACCTGGAAAGCACTGAAGCACACGTGCGCACACACACACACACTTACAGGCTGCACGCTCCCTCTTTTGTGCATTCACCCACAGGCATACACATGCAGGATCTTCAGTTTAGCCTAAGATGTAAGTCACTGTCTGGATCAGTGCCTTGCACATAGTAGGTACTCAGGTGCATGTATAGATATGTATAGATTACTGCCTTATGGTCGGGGGGACTTTGGAAAATTCTTCTAGAAATTTATTAGAATAGGGATAAAAGTGGCAAGTGATGGCACAGCTAAGGAAAAAATGCAGAGTGCTGAAGTTCTAGGATTAGGGACTACCAGTGAAGCTTGAAAGAGGCAGCCTTGGGGAAAATAGAAAGAAATACCAGCAGGGCTGGTGCAGCACAGACCCTGGCACTGGACCGCCTTGGGCTGAATCCTGTTTCCACCAGCTCTGTGACTTTGTATGTTGATTTCCTCATCTGGATCAAAGGGAATGATGCTGTTCATCTTACAGGGCTGTTGCACAAATCAGACGAGTTAATATGTTTAAAGCACTTAAGATAGTGCCTGTTCCCACGGGTAATGGCAAAAACACTTACCCATCACAGCAGCCCCACCTGTTTGCAATGGACACGGGCTGTGAATGTCCTGGTGTATCCTGGTTGGCCAGCCCTGTTCTTGGCTGTCCTATGGGGACAATGGAGTGGAGAGAGTGAGAGCCCTGGGTCCTGCCCCTGGGGCCCTTTGGTGGAAAATGCTTGCCACAGAGCCAGAATGACCAGAAGGAACTCTGGGTGGGACAGAGTGTTGGTGTGGAAGGGACAGGGCACCCTGAGGTGTGGAGGGAGTCATGGAGCTGGGAGTCTTGGGCCATATGGAGGAGGGGCTGCTGTGAGTACCCTGCATTGGGAGTCTCAGCCACAGAAGCACTTTTGTTTTCTTGTTAGAGGCAGAGTCTCACCCTGTCACTCAAGGAGTGCAGTGGCATGATCATAGCTCACTGCAACCACCAAATCCTGCGCTCAAATGATCCTCCTCCCTCAACTTCCCGAGTAGCTGGGACTACAGGCATGCACCACCATGCACGGCTAATTTTTTTTGTTTTGGTAGTGACAGGGTCTCACTATGTTGCCCAGATTGGGCAATTCTGCCTCAGTCTCCCAAAGTGCTGGGATTACAGGTGTGAACCGCCACACTCAGCCATTTTTCTTGTATGATTCACACTGACATGCTGAAAACTGCCTTGCCACCACGCGGCAGAACATCAAAGCCAAACCATCAGCATCCAAAGTGTGCCATGAGGCCAGTGCGTGGAGCTGGAGGAAGAGCCACACACCATCAGCATCCAAAGTGTGCCATGAGGCCAGTGCGTGGAGCTGGAAGAAGAGCCACGCAGCCCTGTGGAAGCTGACAGCACAAGACCCAGACAGAGGACAGCTCAGAAAGAGGAAGGGCAGACAGAAAACAGCCACGCCACCATGGCAGTCCACACATAGCTTTTAGCTGAATGTGAAATTCAGAGCAGGCTTTGTTTGCCTTATGCAAGAACACATGCCTCCGAGAAGCAGCCTGCGCAGGCAAGCAGCACTGACTCTGAAAAGGCATTTTCATTTGTCACACAGGTGTCGTGTGTGGGGGATCAGGCAGGACCCATGTTCTGCGTCCTCCCTCTTTTTGGAGGTGGTGCCCAGATAGCACTCCCTGCACACCGCCTTCTTCGGTTACTTTCCTTGGAACACGGTTCTCTGCACTCCACACCGATTGTTGTTAATCCAGTGGCGGGGTGATAGACCGAGCATGCGAGGCATGATCTGCTCCCATGAGTTTGCTTACTGGTGTCCTCTTACCTTTTTTCTTTTTTTTTTTTAAATGCTATATCCAGAATTTGGAGCTTATAAAGCAAGCACAAAGTTGGGGTTGGTCTGTCCTTACTACCTGAAATCTCAGGATCAGCAGTTTTTGAGAGGACCTCATGCTCGTGGTTCCAAACCTGCCTTGGGCTCCTCTGGCAATCTGTGCACAGGAGGGACACACCCAGTTTGTGACAGGGAGTGATGTGACTCCAGGCTCTGCAGAAGATGCCTTCAGAACTGGTGACCTGGAGCCTGTAACATACTCATGGCCTGAGGGCTGGGTGGCTGTGCCGGGCAGGCAGGGTGTACCTCAACAGAGCGCCCTTGCTTTGTCCCTGTCCCTCAGGGAGCCATTTCTTCCTACTACGTCCAGCGCTATGGATTTCCTCCAGGATGCAAAGTGGTGGCCTTCACTGGGGACAACCCAGGTGAGTTGGGGAGCGATTGAGAGTTCCAGTCCAGCCTTGTGGCAAAGCCTTCTGTGGTCATCCCCACCACCACACCCTGCCATCTGACACCCTGTGCCTGCCCCATCTTAGCTCTGACTCTGCCCTCAGGAGCTGCTCAGCCTGCTCTCCCTGGGTGAAAACTGCTCAGTGATTAAGGAAGGCAGTCATGCCCACCCCACTCCTAACCTGTCTTTTCTGTTCCATAGATGAATAGCTCAATTCCTCCAACCTTCCTCTAGGACATGGTTTTAAGTCTCTGCCCTGCCATTTGATGTGCAGCAATGGCTTGTTTCTCATCTAGACACCTCATCTCCTTCCCTAGCCTCTTCTCTTCCTCCTCCTCTCCTCTGGGTAGTCCTGAAGCCACTCCTGGAAGGGCCCTCGGATCTCTGAAGGAAGGCCAGGTGGGCTACACTGAATAACACCTTAACTGCTTCCTCTCAGCCCTGCCCCAGGAAAAGTCGGTCTTTTTCTAACGATCCACTAAATGAGGGTTACATTTAACCCTAACTAGAAGGGTTAATTTTAACCATAATTAGAAAGGTTAATTTCTGTCCTTTCAGTCTTCTTTCTGTGCTTATAGTAAGCATTGTTGCTTTTAATCAACATGGGCAGTACCTTCCTCATTTTAACAGTTGTCTAGAGTTCCGCTGTCCCAGCATTGATTCACCAGTCCCTTATGGATGGCAGTTGGTGTTGTGTCAGTGTTTGGGTAGTGCAGACAATGTTGAGATGCACATTCAGTCTCTGTTGTTACAGGGTAAGTTCTCAAAGGTGGGATCCCTGGATCCAAGGCTTCTGACACACACATTGCTGATTGAACCTCAGTGGCAGTGTGTGAATGCACCTGTCCTCACTCCCATTTCACCTTTACTCACGTTTAGTCACTCGGCATTTAGTGAATGCCTATTATGTGCCAGGCCTTCTTTCAGCACTGGGGCACTTCAGCAAACAAGGCAGATAAAGATTGCTGTTGTGAGCCAGGTGTGGTGGTGTGCACCTGTGGTCTTAGCTACTCGGGAGGCTGAGGTGGGAGGATTGCATGATCCCGGGAATTGGAGGCTGCTGTGAGCTATGATCATGCCACTGTACTCCAGCCTGGGCAGCACAGTGAGACCCCCACCTTTATATCTCTTTTTGAAAAAAAAAAAAAAAAAAAGGGCCGGGTGCGGTGGCTCAAGCCTGTAATCCCAGCACTTTGGGAGGTGGATCACGAGGTCAAGAGATCGAGACCATCCTGGTCAACATGGTGAAACCCCGTCTCTACTAAAAATACAAAAAATAAAATTAGCTGGGCATGGTGACGCGTGCCTGTAATCCCAGCTACTCAGGAGGCTGAGGCAGGAGAATTGCCTGAACCCAGGAGGCGGAGGTTGCGGTGAGCCGAGATCGCGCCATTGTACTCCAGCCTGGGTAACAAGAGCGAAACTCCGTCTCAAAAAAAAAAAAAAACGCTGCTGTGGGCCTCGTGTCTAAGGCAGGGCACAGACAGGGAACATGAGCTAAGCCCCTGCTTTTCCATCACCACCTTTGTCTTTCGCTGCTGTGTGTATCCTTGGTGACTTGTCTTGGCCTCCTTGGTTCTCAAGCACTCCCGGGAGTGCTTGACAGTGGAGGGTCCAACCCTTCAGGGAAGAGACTTCACAGCTCAAATCAGAGGCCCTGCTCACACTCCACCCCCTGACCTCTATGACCTTCTCTTAGGGCCTCCTGAGCGCTCAGCCCCCCTGCTTCTGCCTCCACCCTAGGGTGTGGGTGGGAGTTGGAGGTGGGGGCTGCGCTCCTGCCTAGAGAGCCCTGTGGTTTGCTTTGTGGTTTGCCAGCTAACCAGGAGCTCCCCTCCCATTCTCAGCGTCGCTGGCAGGCATGAGACTGGAGGAAGGCGACATTGCGGTAAGTGACTTCCTATTGGCTCTTTCGGTTTCCACACTCACTCCCACACTGATAAGTGGCACCAGGATCTGGGTCCCAGCAGCATGTCTGCTACTTATCAGAGTGTCTGTTGGCCCAAGAGGCAGGGGAGGGAGGGGATGGGGGCACACATCTTTCTCAGAAGGTCATTATTCTTTGCTGGATGGGCAGGACCCCCGCCTGCTTCACAGTGGCCAGTCTTAGTGAGTGCAGTGGCAGAGGGTCAGATGTGGGGCCAGAGGGCTGGGAGCAGCCCAGAATAAGGAAGACATAACTCAGGCCTTCCTACTTCTAGTGGGAAAGTCATGTGGGGAGCCAACCATTACCCAAACCGTTGTTTAGCTGCAGTTGTGGGATCAGCACAGGAGACCGTGGGATCTGCACCTGGGGAGCTGGCTCCTGGTTCCTCTGGTGTGGGAGGGTCAGAAGGGGCTCTGAGAAAGTGGCCTTGCATCTGAGGTCTGCAGCATGAGGAGTGAAGTGACAGGGTCAGGGTGGGTGGAGTGTGGCGCATCACCCACGAGTGAGGGCAGCATGTGTGGGCAAAGCCCAAGGCGCCTCAGCTCTGCTCACTTCTTTCCAGGTCAGCCTGGGCACCAGTGACACCCTGTTTCTCTGGCTCCAAGAGCCCATGCCTGCCCTGGAAGGCCACATCTTCTGCAACCCGGTTGACCCCCAGCACTACATGGCACTCCTGTGGTGAGCCTGGGTGTTAGCTGGCACCATTTGCTGGGTGAGGAAATGCAGGCAGATCTGGCACCATCTTGAGGACCCCAAGTCATTCCACTAAGCTCTGGAGTGACTCTCTCAACTTTTCCAGGCTCTACTGGGCAGCTGAGAGCCCCAGGGACTCACTGGCTCTTGCTGACAGCAGAGCTGGGTGAGGAATAATCCAAGACCCTGAGTCCTTTCAGCCCAGGTTCAAATCCTATCCTCACCACCAATACCCTGTGTGGCCTTGGGCCACCTCCATAGTGTGGCATGTCGGAGCCACACTTTCCTCATGAGATGGGGAGGGTGAGAGCATCTACCTCACATTGTTGCTGTGGCCTGTCTGCCATGTGGTGGACCCTCAGCAAATGGCAGGAAGGACGTCCTGCCTTCCGACAGCTCATGGAAGGGACGTGCTCTGTGCTCTGACCACAGGCCTTTGGAGACCCGTTCAAAGCTCCTGAGGGAGATGGTTTCTGAGCTCCTAAGCCCTAAGAACTGTTGGAGAATGTGGCTAGTTAGTCCAGCCTGCCCTGCCTCATTGTGCATATGGTAGAATGTACAGAAACCTGAGCTCCCTGTCTCTACCTGGGGCTCCTCTGTGTCAGCCTCCTCTGTAAACAGCCCAAGACAAGGGTGTTTCTGGCGCCTCCCAGGGACATTCAGGGACCTGGAATCTGAGGACGAGCCTCCGATGCCTAAGGTTCAGAGCCTGCTGTGCCACTGCCTGGGGGTTGTGGTCCAGCCTGACCTGCAGTTCCTCTGCCTGGGTCTCCTCATTGAAACTCATTGTCTAGTCAGCAAGCACCAGCTCCCCCACTCAGAGCTGTGCCCTCTTCTGCAGCTTTAAAAATGGCTCCCTCATGAGAGAGAAGATCCGTGATGAGTTCGCGTCCTGTTCCTGGAGCGAGTTCTCTAAGGCACTGCAGTCCACAGAGATGGGCAACGGTGGAAACCTGGGTAGGCTGGTTGGGGATGCTCAGGCCTGTGAGGGCTCAGCAGCTACCGCTGGAGGTGCCTAGGGCCCCACGAGCTGGGGGAGAGGAGGGCCATGGAGAAGTCCAGGGAGTTCTGTCTGTCTGCACTGCTGTTAACGCAGGTCCTACAGGCTGGTGTGGAACCCTGTGCTCTGAGCAAGGGCGGGGCTGTAAGGCTGTCCTTGGCTTCTGCTCTGAGCAGAGATCAGGCCATTGCTACATCTTCTGCCTACTCCCAGCCCCTGGTGACAGCATCAGAGAGGGCACCCTCTACCCTGGTGCATCCCCGTTCAGAGCCCTCTGCCCCAGGCACAAGGAAAAGTGCCCGGTGTCTGGGCAGGCCTGAGCAGGGAGGGGCCGTGCCTCCCTTGGTCAAACCTGTGTTAGATTTTAGGATTGGCTGGGCAGCTGCTTCTTGTTCCAAGCTGCCACGTGAGAGCAGGAAGAATTGTCTCTGAGAAAAGCTAGCTCAGGGCTTTCTGGTTCCCTGCTATCCTGTTGGAGAGAAAGAGCTGGGAATATTCACAGGTCCCATCAGGGAGATTAAAGAGAGCCAGGGAACCCAGGGATATGGGGTCATTTAGCTCTGTTCTAAGTCTGTTGAAAAGCCAATCTTTTGTTTTTTGACTAATGACAGCTGATCTCTTCCTGGTTTTATTTCAGGTTTTTATTTTGATGTAATGGAGATCACCCCTGAAATTATTGGACGTCATAGGTTTAACACAGAAAACCACAAGGTACGTGTGCTCTTGGTATTGGAGTTACATTGGCTCCACTTGTGAGATTAAATTTAACAATTGCCTATCAAATTATGTTACTTTTAGGGACTTCATTCATTCCCTCATCCACTGATACACACACCTGTGGTGTGACAGGGTGCATTCCAGAGCCTGGGGAGTCCTCAGCACCTAAGACAGGCACTGCCCTTTCCCTCAAGGAGGAATGCAGAAAACCTGAGAGTTCTCTTCCAGCTTAACAAATGCTGACGCTATCACTGAGTATCAAAGAGCTTATTTCCTTGAGAAGTTTCATCCTATACCCATGGAGAACTCATGGATTTTGAGATCCTGAATTTCCTCCTGGGTGAAAGAGCCTCTGGGACTGGGAGGTACTAACATTTATTGAGGCCTATTTGGGGCCAATAAATGGGGCATTGTGCTCATGGTTTTCTATACCTTCCTCATTTACTTTTTTTTCTTTTGAGACAGAGTCTCGCTCTGTTGCCCACACTGGAATGCCGTGGCATGATGTCGGCTCACTGCGAGCTCCACCTCTCGGGTTCAAATGATCCTCCTGCCTCAGCCTCCCAAGTAGCTGGGATTACAGACGTGAGCCGCCACGCCCAGCTAAATTTTGTATTTTTAGTAGAGATGGGGTTTCTCCATGTTGGCCAGGTTGGTCTTGAACTCCTGACCTCAAGTGATCCGCCCGCCTCAGCCTTCCAAAGTCCTGGGATTACAGGTGTGAGCCACCATTCCCAGCTGTCTTTTACTTTTCAAAGCAATTCTGTAAGGTAGGCACTATTGTTCCTCTTTCCAGACGGAGAAGTTGAGATACAGAGGCTCAGGCTAATCAATCTCCCCAGAGTCACAAGGTCATAGGTGGTGGAGGGGCTCAACCCAGTTCTCTCTGGCTCTGAAGCTGCTATTTTCTTTCTCCTCCACCATGCGACCTTTCCCAGGAAGGATTTAGTTGGTTCTGGCTGCTCAAAATTGACATTGCTGTTAGGTAGTCACTGGAGAGTCATCACCACATTTTGGGTTGTACCTGAGAGATGTTTCTGACCCCAGGAAATGGGGGATTTATGTAAGACCCTCTGTCTAGGAACTGTGCCCATCAGAGTTGGCTTTGGATTCAAGGGCAGATGATGGCACTACATGTTGGATTTTGAATGGAAAACTTTGTATAAAGTAGGAAGTTCGTCTCAATCTTCTGATGGGGGACCAGTTTGCTTTCTTTTGTTAGAGTGAGAAGCAATGCCTGCTCTCTCTCTCATGCATGTCAATCCTAGATTTGTCAAGGAGAAAGTAGTGTTCTTCTTTCAATCACACATAGCCAACAGATATGTGTGATTGGTGCCAGTCACCAGGGACACAAAGGAGAACAAGGCATCGGTGGCCTTGCTCTCCAGAGCCTGCTGTCTAGGAGGGAGAGGGACAGTAGACAGGGGAATGAGCATGTACACGAATGGAGCAGGTGCCGAGGTTGGGAGCGGAAGAGCAGAATGCCGCAAGGGAAAGCGGAGGGGGGCGGGGGGCGGGCTGGAGACTTACCCTGGGTGGGGTGAAAGGGGTGTTCGGGCCTGGGTCTCTCTGAGAAGGTGGCCTTTAGGTTGAGACCTGAATGTACTCAGGATCTCACCATGGAAAGAGTAGGACGGACTTCTAGGCAGAGGGAGCAGCTTGGGAACTAGAAGAAGGTCAGTAAGGTTAGAGTGTAGCTGTTCATGAGCGGGCAGTGGCAGGTTCTGGCGTTGGTCTCAGGTGCCAGAGAAGCAGGGGTGAGCTGGCGTTGCTGGTCATCAGTGCTAGCTTGGAGGACATGCCACAGGGGTGAGATCTCAGGATCCGCTCCTGGCTCTCACTTATCTATATGCACTGCATTTTCTAGGCTCTGTTGTCTAATCTGATCATTACAACAACCCTTAAAAACAGGTGCTGCTATTACCTCTGTTTTATTAGGAAAAAGAATGACAGTAAGACTAAGGTAACTTACTGAAGATTGCAGAGCTGAAAGTTAGACAGAACTTGAACCCTCAGCTGCCTAAGACTGAATTTGGTAATGTCTCTGATTCTTCAAAGTGACAGGCATGTGAGGCTGTGAGCTGTGTGCTTGAGTAGTGTGCTTGTGTGAGTGCCTGTGACAGGCAGAGATAGTGGTTAGAGAGCCCAGCTATGAGTTTCAGATCTGGGCTGATGTTTAAAAAGATCATGCACACACACGCACACACGCACGCACACAGATAATGAGAGTTCCTTACTCTGTGCCCACCTTTTCCTGGAGACAGGTCTCAGCATTCCCTGGGGATGTGGAGGTTCGAGCACTGATTGAAGGACAATTCATGGCCAAGAGGATTCATGCAGAAGGCCTGGGCTATCGAGTCAGTAAGTGAGCCACTGGCGTCGTGTGTCCCGGGGTGGTGGCTCAGGACCAGCTCACATCGAGGGGCCAGGGCTAGCGGGGCAATGTCTACTGAGGTTTTCTTCCAGGGGACCTTGTGCAGGAGGGAGGTGGAGCTTGCCTTGGGGGTGGGGTGAGAAAGCACAGGCAGGCATAGACCAGCAGGCTGGTTGTTTCTGCTTCTCAGCTGTGTCCACAATAGCCTGACCTTTTGACTGGGACCTGTAGGAATTGGAAAAGGTCTTTCTGTAACCCTAAGCTCCAAGCTGCAAACAAGCTTTCCTGAGCTCTGGACTCCAAGGGCATAGGCAGTGCAAGGTCTGGGGATGTGGCTGAATCTTGGCCTTCCAGCCTGGCCACGTTCCACTGCCTCTGGGACAGACTCTAGGTCTTTCGGCTTGGACAGAGAAGAGGGTGAGGGCGATGTGGTACCACTGCCAAAACTCAGGAGACTGATGTCTTAGTTAATTTTCTATTGCTTGTAACAGAATACCTGATCCTGGGTCATTTATAAGAAAAGGAATTTATTTCTTACAATTATGGAGGCTGAGAAGTCCAAGGCTGAGGGGCCATATCTGATGAGGGCCTGCTTGCTAGCGGGGCTCTCTGCAGAGTCCTGAGGAGGTCCAGGGCATCGCATGGTGAGGTACAGGGCTGGCTCAGGGCTCCCTTCCTCTTCTCATAAAGCCACCAGTCCCATTCCCATGATAACCCGTTAATCCATTAAGCTATGAATGGATTAACCCACCCATAGAGCCCTCGTGACCCAATCTCCTTAAAGGTCCCATCTTTCAATACACTACATTGGAGATAAAGCTTCAATGTAAGTTTTGGAGGGGATACATATTCAAACCATAGCAACTGGCATGGAGAGGGCAGACCCAGGGCTGGGGGAGGCAAAAGGAGGAGAAAGGGATTTCTGAGAACTTGAACTATAGAACAATCAGCTTTAGGAGGTCAGTGAGTCCACTTACAGATGGCATTGGAATGGTCTGGGGGTCTGTAAGGAGTTTGGACTGGCCACCCATAGAGTCCAGGTTTCAAAGATCTATTTGTCCCTCTGGGATATAGCTGTTATCACTAGAGAAGATAGTGAAGCTGCTTTGCTTGAGGGCCTTCCTATGATACTTTATGGACAATCCAAGTTCTACGTCATATGTATTTTATACCTTTGAATCCGCTGAGTAAACGGATACTGTAAAAGTACCCATTAGGGAAACCTCTCGGAAAACCTGTTAGAGAGCATCTGCTAAAGCTGAGTATACGCCTACCCAGCAGTGTCTCTTCCAAGTAAAGGCACAACCGGAATTTGTGCATGTGTTTACTAAAGATGTACGTGAGAACATTCATTGCGGCATGACGCTGAATAGCCCCACAGTGGAAACAGCCCAGTGTCCATTAATAGTAGACAGAAAAAATGCATTGTGGTGCATTTGTACAGCAGGATACTCTACCCACAAATGAAATGAACCAGCCTCAATGATACACAATGAAATGGGTGAATCTCACCAAATGTAACACTGAGCAAAAGAAGCCAAACACAGACATTCATATGGCAGGGTTCTCTGTAATCACATTCAGAAGCAGATGAAACTACAGACTGGGCACAGTGGCTCACACCTGTAATCCCAGCATATTGGGAGGCCGAGGCAGGAATTCAAGACCAGACTGGGCAACATGGTGAAACCCTATCTCTGCAAAAAATACAAAAATTAGCCGGACATGGTGGCACATGCCTGTAGTTGCAGCTTCTTGGGAGGCTGAGGTGGGAGGATTGCCTAAGCCTAGGAGGTTGAGGCTACAATGAGCCATGAGACACTGTCTCAGTTAAAAAAACAAAACAAAACAAAACAAAAAAAACAGATGAAACTATTTACTAATGTTGAAAGTCAGGATAATTAGTAGTTACCCTTCAGAAGGGGGCCTATGGGGTGTTGGCGATATTCTGTTTCATGTTCCATGGGTGTGTTTAGTTTGTAAAAAATTATGAAGATTATAGGTTTATGATGTGTGCATTTTTCAGGATGTGTGTTCTAGGTCGATACAATATTTTAAAATATGTAAAATGATCACCATGAGCATTCCCATTGCCCTCATCCCACCACCCTGAGTGTAAAAAGACATTTCCCAAAGGTCTGCAAAGACTTCCACGTTCCCTGAGAATGAGACTGGGTGAGCAGGGCAGGGATGGTGCTGGAGTTGGCAGAGTGCCTGGCAGGGGTCCTCTGGCTGTCAGAGGGGGACCCCAGGGAAGGCAACAGCCCAGCATACAGGGAGAAGCAGTTAGGGCAGAAGGCCCCCATGGGCTCAGGAGGAGCTGATGGGATTGTGGCGTTATTCCTAGCCTCTAAAGCATTTCTTGTGCAAAACAGCATAGAGTTACTTATCCTCTTAGCAAGCTTAAATGCAGAATCGGATCTGTCTTGCCACTCTGCTGAGTGATCACTTAAATAGACATACTTGGAACCAACAGAGGTTGCACACACCGGAGGCCTCCTTCTCCAGGCTGCTGTGTGGACTGGCCAGCCCTCGTTTTCGCTCCTGCCCAGTCATCATCTCATTTGGCTTTAATAGTGTCTAAGGAGAATAAAGAGGCACTTTGAATAAAAATGAGTATTGTGATACTAACAGCTGCCAGCATTTGTCGGACACCGAGTGTGTGCCCGGCCTGGTTCCTTAGCAATTAATCTTTATTAACAACAGTACCTCTAAAGTAGGTACTGATGATTCCCACTTCACAACCTAGGAAACCTAATGTTGCAGTGCTTAAGAAACTTGGTCAAGGCTGGCAGAGCTGGGATCTGAACCAAGCCAGTCTGGCTCCGGTTGCTGGATTCTCAACCACTGGCTGAACCTGCTTTATTTGAGGAGCAATCGCTCTCTTGATATTTATAGATACCATCAGACATGATAGACACCAGCAGGGCAGGGCTCATAAGCCATCGTTTTCAGCTTATATTTCAGTGTGTTTCATGTCGTTTAGGTTGATTGTAAAAACAGTCAAACTTCGTAATAGCAAGTTTGAAAAATAAAGAAAGTGGGCCTGGTGCTCATACAGCCCTGTAATCCCAGCACTTGGGGAGATGGAGGCAGGAGGATCACTTGAGCCCAGGAGTTCGGGACTGGCAAAGAGACCTCATCTTTACAAATAATAATAATAGGCTGGGCGCAGTGGCTCATGCCTGTAATCCCAGCACTTTGGGAGGCTGAGGCAGGTGGACCACGAGGTCAGGAGTTTAAGACCAGTCTGGTCAACATGATGAACCCCGTTTCTATTTAAAAATTACAAAAATTAGTTGGGCATGGTGGCTCGTGCCTGTAATCCCGGCTACTTGGGAGGCTGAGATAGGAGAATCGGTTGAACTGGGACCAGGGACCTGGGACGCGGAGGTTGCAGTGAGGCGAGATCGCACCACTGAACTTTAGTCTGGGCTACAGAGCAAGACTCCATCTCAAAAAAAATAAAAATAAAAAAAATAAAGAGCCTGGCATAGTGGCGTATGCTTGTGGTCTCAGCTACGGGGGTGGGGAGGTGGCAGGGGGTGGGAGGAGGTGGGGGGATTGCTGGCGCCTGGGAGGTCAAGGCTGCAATGAGCTGTGATTGCACACTGCACTGTAGCCTGGATGACAGAACGAGAGCATGTCTTAAAAGAATAAAGGAAAATGCCTTATAATCCCATCCCCTCTCTCCAACCACTGGTACCATTTAGGGACATTTTCTCCCAGTCTCCTTTATTAGCTTACTTCCATACAGCCATAGTTCTGTTCCTTTGTACCTTATATGCAAAGGTTGCATACAAGAACCAAAGTTCGTCAAAAGTCATCTTCATGGTGCTGCGTAGGGCGGCCAGGTTACTTTTCCTGCATTTGGGCATTGAGGGTGTTCTTGTTTTTTTGTTTTGTTTTGTTTTCTTTGTTTTGCTTTTTTGGAGACAGGGTTTCACTCCTGTCCCCCAGGCTGGAGTGCAGTGGATCAATCTCAGCTCACTACAACCTCTGCCTCCTGGGCTCAAGCAGTCCTCCTGCCTCAGTCTCCCGAGTAACTGGGACTACAGGTGCACACCACCTCATCCTGCTAGTTTTTGTATTTTTAGTAGAGACGTGGTTTCACCATGTTGGCCAAGCTGGTCTTGAACTCCTGACCTCGAGTGATCAATCTGCCTCAACCTCCAAAAGTGCTGGGATTACAAGTGTGAGCCATTGCACCGGGTCATTGTTCTTGGTTTTCCAACATGGAATCAAACTAGAACATCTTCCATAGCTTGAATTGCTTCCCCAGGAGGCTGGCATTCCTTCTCTCATCCCAGACACTGTCTTCATGGCTAGTGATGAAGATGGGGGAAGTGAGAGATGGGAGCTGAATGTCTTCTCCTGGACAGAGCCAAGAGGCAGGGTCTTAAAACAACTATGTGTTTTTAAATACATAATGGATGTCTTTTTGTCATAAAAAATTCATGCAAATAGAAATATGGAATAAGAAGCAAATGCCCCATTCATATGCCTCCCAGACTCCTTTCCTTTATTCCAGACTGTGACTTCCTTCCTGACTTTCTGTGTTAGATTGAGTCATACAGAATTGTCAATATTGAAGAAGTTTTGACTTACAAAAATGGCAGTTTCATATGACTTAACCTGATGCATATGTGTATACACACACACACACGCACACATATATATATTTAATAGAAATGTTATTATATTCTATGTGTTATTCTGAGACTTATTTTCCATAACAGTATGTACGGGTCTACCTTTTTGTTTTCTAATGACTGGCATGAGGTCTGCTAAATTATTTTATGTCCCGACCTGCAGGACAACAACAGGAGCCCGAAGGGAGGGAGTGGGGATGGTTGGGCAGGAGACGCGAAGAATGGAGACAAGACAGGAGTCTGATCAAGTCTCGTTTATTGTTGCTGAGCTCACAGCTTAAATAGGCCAGGCAGGGGGGCGGGGCAAAGGAAGCTTGCAGTTGGGAAATTCCGGCCAGGTGTGCCAGGTGCCGCTACCAGCCTCGTGCCGTCCACGGGCTGGACCTGAATCATCAGGACTTGAGCCTCCCACAAGCGGCACCTGGGCTCTCTTGGCCCCAGGATTTGGCCTGTGCTGCTGCCCACAATTTTACAGCTCCAGTTGAAGGAGATTAAGATTGTTTCTTGTTTTGTTTTGTGTTTGATTTTGTTCTTGTTTTGAGACAGAGTTTCACTCTGTTTCCCAGGCTGGAGTGCAGTAGCACAGTCTCAGCTCACTGCAACCTCTGCCTCCTAGGTTCCAGTGATTTTTGTGCCTCAGCCACCTGAGTATCTGGGATTACAGGTGTGCCCCATACCACCTAGCTAATTTTTGTATTTTTTAGAGATGGGGTTTCGCCACATTGCCCAGGCTGGTCTCAAACCCTTACAGCAAGTAATCCACTCATCTTGGCCTCGTGAAGTGCTAGGATTGTAATCTCCACGTTCACCACCTCATCCTATGCTCTATACCCTCGTCCCTAACCTAGTTCATTCTTGTGTATTTTTTCCCCTTGAGCATGTTAGCTAAAGGTTTGTGTATTTTATTAAGCAATGTTAATATTTTGTTTTGTGATTCCTTTTATTAATTTCTACTTTTATCTTTTAAGTGACTTCCTTCTACTTTGTGAATTCTTTTTTTTACTTTTTCTGTATTTTTAAATTGAAATCTTAGCTTATTAATTCCCATTCTGTATTAACTTGTAGTTGATGCATTTCAGAAGACTACATGATAACTTTATTTACATAACGTGTCTTTCATTTCTAAAAAGATAGTAATTTGCATCTTTTTCTGCACCAATGATTGCTCCTTCAAAATGGCCCCTTGTCCTTTTATCATATCTTCCATCATACCTTGAGCATTTCCATAGCTTCTAGTATAAAAACAGTTTCACGCCCATCCTGTTTTTTCCTTGGATCAGCCCTGTAATCTTCCATTTATCCAAGGAGCCCTGACTCCTTTGAGTGGGGAGAGTTTGGATGCTCACTCTGGATGCTCATTGCTACTGGGATGTTGCTGTTCCCAGCCCCTTTCAGTGGGCTGACCTGGGAAATATTAGGATATATATGTCTGTATCCATGCACGTATTTACCTTTCTATTTGTCTCTTTGTCTACTTCTCCATGTGTTGGAAAACATGAATTCAACCCTATGTACTCCACTTCCACTCCAACACTATGGGGCCATTCTGGCTTTCTTCCCCTATTTGTATCTTATCCTAACGGTGGCAAAGTTGATTCTTTTGACCCCTCTAGATTGCTGCCTCCTTGACATGCCCCATTTTGGCTTCTCTGCTCCCCCTTACCTGTGTTGTCTCTGTGTTCTCTCTCTAGCAGCCTCTTGGATCTGCCCCACTCTGGTTACATACTCACATGTGGCCCTTGACCATACCCTCAGGGCTGTCTCCCGGCCTGCCTACTTCTGTTTGCCTGTCTCATGGCTTTTTAAGGAAGGAAGAAGAAAAAAGAAAGGTAGGAAGGTAGGCAGGCGATAAATATTTTTAAAGAGAAGGGTCCATTTACATTTAATACAATTATTGAAATGATTGGATTTAATTCAATTAGACCAAAGTTCTATATGTTCTTGTTTATTCTTTATTATTTTCCTATTTTATTTTTGGATTAAGTGAGCAATGTTTAGTATTCCATTTTATCTCCTCTGTTGGCTTTTTAAGCTATACGTTTTTAAATTGATTTTTTTAAATTGAAATTCTTAACTTGAAAAGAAAAGCAAGGAGGGGATAATTGCTATGCTAAATATTAAAACATTATTATGGGCTGAACTCTTGTCTACCCTAAATTTATATGTTGAAGTCCTAAACCCCAGTATCTCAGAATGTCAGTGTATTTGAAGATAAAGACAAAGACAGATATTACCTCTTTAGAAAGGTAATTAAGTTAAAAATGAAGTCATCAGGATGGGCCCTAATCCAGTATGACTGATGTCCTCATGAGAAGGGAAAAGGAAGACACAGGGGCTCACAGGAGAAGACCATGTGCAGACACAGGAAGAAGGTGGCACCTATAAGCTAAGGAAAGAGGCCTAAGATGAAATCAACCCTGCCAACGCCTTGATCTCAGACCTTAAGCCTCCAGAACTGTGAGAAAATAAAGTTCTGTTGTCTAAGCCACCCATTCTGTGGCATGTTCTCATGGTAGCCCTTGCCAACTAACATAAGCATACTACAAAACCACAATAATGTAACAGTTTTTCTGCCCCAAGAACAAGACCAATGAACCCACAAAACAGAAAAGGGAGTGCAGGTGGGTTCCATGGCTCGTGTCTGTAATCCCAGCACTTTGGGAGGCCAAGGCAGGCAGAACACTTGAGACCAGGAGTTTGAGACCCACCTGGGCAACATGGCAAGACCCTGTTTAAAAATTAGCCAGGCGTGGTAGTTTGTGTCTGTAGTCCCAGCACTTTGGGAGGAATATTTCCAGGTCTCTATGACTCATGTAAAGCTCTTGTAAGAAGCTTTACTTGGGAATAAAAAGTCTTTTATGAAGCCAATGTTCTTGCTTTCCTACAAGATTCAAGTTAGTAATTCCCAGACTCTTCTTGTCAGAGTGCAAGCTGCCGCCATCCTTAGCTTGTGATAATCAAAGATGGGGCAAAAAAAAAAAAAAAAGCAGGAAGAACGCTTGAGACCAGGAGTTTGAGACCTGCCTGGGCAACATGCCAAGACCCTGTTTAAAAATTAGCCAGGCGTGGTAGTATGTGTCTGTAGTCCCAGCTACTCAGGATGCTGAGGTGAGAGGATCGCTTGAGCCCAGGAGATGGAGGTTGCAATGAGCTGAGATCGCTCTACTGCACTCCAGCCTGGGCAACAGGCTGTAAAATATTGTCTGAGCTGTTAAAGGTCCTCATTTTTCCATAAATATTTTATAAGAAATTGGTCCAGTTCCTTAAAAGAGTCCAGTTAGAATTTATATTTAGGTTGAATAGGATTTATACATTAATTGGAAAAGTGGACATGTTTATAATGTCAATTCATGTTCACTCAAGACCATGGACTATCTTTTAATTTATTTAGATATTCTCTTTTTGTCCTTTAACAACAGCTGCCACTTTTTCTTCGTAGAAACTTTTGAACTGTTTTTTAAGGTGTGCCCTTACATGTAAGGCTACCTTGCATTTCTGGGTGCCATCATGAATGGTCATTTATTTTCTGTCACATTTGCTAGTTGGTTATTTTTAGAAATGCCTTGGATTATTATAGGTTGATTTTGTATCTGGCAACCTTATTAAACTCTTGTTAGTTTTATTAGTTTGCTTACTCTTTATTTTTTCCAAGTAGATGGACTATTGTCTGCAAATGACAGTTTTCTTTTTTTTTCTTTCAATACTTAAACATTTCAGTTGTTTTTGTTGTCTTATGGCATTGATTGGTAGATCTAATACTGTGTTAAACAGTGACCTGGATACTGTGAGTCTCTGTTTTGTTCCTAGTTGTATTAGCTATCTATTGCCATATAAGAAATTATTTCAAAACTTAGCAGCTTAAAACAAAAATAAATGTTTACTCTCTTATACAATTTCTTTGGTTCATGAATTTGGGTTCAACATAGTTGGGTGATTCCGATTGAGGATATCTCCTGAGGTTACAGTCAAAATGTCATCTGGGGCTGCAGACATTTGAAGGCTTGACTGAGGCTGGAGGCTCTGCCCCCAGGCTGGCTCACTCACGTGGCTGTTGGCAGGAAGCCTCAGTCCCCTGCCATGTAGACCTCTCCCTAAGGCTGCTTTAGCATCTTCAGGATGTGGCACTTCCCTCCCCCAGAGTGAATGATCCAAGATAGAGTGACCTGTGTCAGAGCGTGATGGAAGCCTCAATGTCTTTTATCTTCTAGTCTTAGATGTCATACTCCATCATTTACACAAGGTTCTATTGCGTATACAAGTCAGCCCTATTGGATGTGAGCAGGGACTACTTGAAGCTGTGACTCTCAGGAGGGAGGGATTCTCTGGAGGCCATTTTGGGGTCTGGTTGGCACACCAGTCTGAAAAAAGTGCTTCTAAATCTTCGTTAAGAATGATGTTTGTTATAAATTGTGGATATGTGGCTTTTATCATTTAAGTAAGTTCCCTTCTGTTCCTGTTTTGTTGAGATATTTAAAACAAAAAAAATTATTATAGGCAGTTAAGGGGGGGTGGGAGAGCAACCTCACGAGCAAATGAACATGACAGGTCTGCACGCACAGAGCCAGCTTTGGATCTCTCCCGTAGTCCTGTGTGATAAGCAGGGGGCACTGGCCCCTCATGAACCCTCTGTAGCTGAAGAACTCTGGAGAAACAGCCTGTCTGCCTTGGGAGAATTGGCATAGTATTTCAGTTTTTCTCTTTTCCCTTTCAGTGTCCAAGACAAAGATTTTGGCCACAGGAGGAGCATCTCACAATAGAGACATCTTACAGGTAAGCGTTCGTAGTGGGCCCTACACCATGGCCTCTCCCATGTCTGTTGCGTCTAAGAGCCAGAGATTCAATGAGAAAGACAGCGTCCATTACCACTCCTGCAGGAAAAGGGAGCTCTTAGCTCATACTCTCTGGGAAGCAGCTCTGTTGCCTTATAGCTCATACTGTGAGTGGGGTCTGTCTCACATGCAGGTGAATTCTACTGCCGTGTACGATCCACTTTCTGATACCAGCACTGGCCTCTGGAGTCACATGGAAAGTGCCTGCTGTTCCCTGTGGCAGACCTTCTCACATCTAATTCCAGTGTTCTTGTCTTCCTCAAGGCCTCTGCCTTCCACTTTAACCATCGCTGATTCTCCAGTCCACTTGTAACACGGTTGTCAGACTGTTACTGTCCTTCTGATCCTTCGTTATGCCAGAAACATATGACCAAAAGTAGAATCAACCTGCGGATGTCCAACACTCAGACTGTCACCTTGTGGGGCTGTCAGATCCTGTTATGGGACATTGTGCATTCTTGGGTGTAGCCTGAGGCTGTCTTAACTGTTAAGAGTTACTGTATTAGCTGTTCACTTGTGATGACCTGTCTTAGGTAAGATTTTCAAGAAACAGAGCCTGCAGTGGAAATTCTTCTATAAGCAGCTTGTTGAGAGAGGAGGATTCCCAGGGGAAGGAAGTGAGGGACTCAGGGCAGAGCAGAGGAAGAAGGATAAGTGAGGGTCTGGCTTCATGTGGAGTCTGTTTCAGCTCCATCCTGGGGGGAGATGGGGCTCTGGCACATGAATTACACCACAGAGCTGGTTTTACCTTGGGACAAGGGGCCAACAGGTGAGTGGTGGCCTATGCTCAGCCAAGGTCAGTTCTCTTGAGGAGGAAGTGCTGCAAGCCGTTAGTAGCCAGTGCTCACAGCAGCTGGCATGGGGCACACAGCGGTCCAGTGAAGGGGAGCTAGGTAGGCATTAGTGGCACCTACTAACCTATCTCTGGTCAACTAAGAGCTCCCCCTGGTTTTTTCCATGTGAACTCCAGTTAGTACAGGTCCTCCATTCGAAATGTATGCAATTTATTTTTGAACCTAAATGGGAAACTTCACCATTATCCCCATGAAACATGACCTTGTTAGTTTGGGTTTGTTTGGACTTATTAATATTAGTCTAATACCCAACTGTCTCCAGCCCTAGGTCAGTACCATTTGCTCAGCATACTTTCCAAATCTTCTGCCTTGTCTTTGATGAAATGGCTAAAAAGCACAGGGACAGCCTGGGGAGCTGTGGCCCAGGTCGTCTGACTCTGTTATCACCTGGGCAGCATGACCAAGCGCACTCCCCTTAAGGCAGTCAAGGTGGAATGGAAGGGGGTCAGAAGACATATGAAGGAGAGAGCCTGGAAAATGCATCCCACAATGTCTGTGTTCCCTCTGAGGAACAGGCTCACCACAGTAGAGCCTCTGTGTCCTTTCCAGGTGCTTGCAGATGTGTTTGGTGCCCCAGTGTATGTTATAGACACTGCCAACTCGGCCTGCGTGGGTTCTGCATACCGAGCTTTTCATGGTAGGTCGATGGAGGGGGACAGCTGTGTCCTGAAGTGGCCAGGGCATGGGGTGGGCTGATGAGGGTGGAAAGGGGAGGCTGAGGTGTTCCAGATCTTTGGGAACATTGGAGTCTTGGAGACTTCAGCTTCATTGTTCCAGCTCTCAGCAGGTAAGAACCAACCCATACCCTCTGTTCCTTTATTCTCTGCTTAAAGTGGAGAAAAAGAGGCTGGGTCCTAACTGAATGAAGTCTGTTCAGAGGGTCAGCACAGGGGCACCAGAAAAGAACTCAGGGCATGATTGAGGGCATGTGGACATGGGTCTGGACAGCTACAGGGCAGGAGAGGTGGACAAAGTCCAGAGCCATCTTTTCGTCAAGAACAGAAGTTGAGACAAATGGGAAGACTTCAGGCCCAAACCAGTCCAGGACCCTGGACAGCTCCTTGGAGCCCTGCAGTCCTGATGGAGGCCTCACTGCAACTCTGGTTATTAAGGGAAGCTCCCCGATCTAGGCAAGTTCTGGCGGGAGCAGCACATACCCCCAGGGGCATTTGTCCTTTCAGTTGGATCAGTTTGCCCTGTCTCCTGCCTGCTCAGGGAGCTTCTGTAGCAGCCCAGGTGGTTGTATTCTTTTCATGTTCACTCTTAACTTTTTAACATACCTGTGTAAGCTTATATTTCTCTGCCAACATTGAGAATTAATCAGGAAACATATCCTTCTCTTAATAATTAACCTCTCACTCTTTTATTCTCTCCCCACCCCATCTACCTCACCCCGCCTCATGCCACATCCTATATCAAGATCACTTGGGAATTTATTTTCAGATTCTTGTATTAAGTACATTTAACATCATATGCCTCCCCTCCCTCCCTCCCTTCCTTCCTCCCTCCTTTCCTTCCTTTCTCTTTCTTTCTATTTTTCTTTCTTTCTTCTTCTTTTTTTAAACTTCCTGACCTTTCTTTCTCCTTTATTTCTATGCTGAGCTTTTTGTATTATTTTGCTGGGTTTTTGTTTTTTGTTTTGAGACAGGGTCTCTGTTGTCCAAGCTAAAGTTCAGTGGTGCAGTCGTGATTCACTGCAGCCTCGACCTCCTCAGGTCAGGTGATCCTCCCACCTCCGCCTCAGTCTCCCGGATAGCCGGGACTACAGGCACACATCACCACACCTGGCTAATTTTTGTAGAGATAGGGTTTCACCATATTGCCTAGGCTGAACTCAAACTCCTGGGCTCAAGCGATCCACTCACCTCAACCTCCCAAAGTGCTAGGATTACAGGCATGACTCCTAGTGCTAGGATTACCACGCCTGGGCCGTATGCTAGTTTTGCTGGAATATACAACCTAAATAAATATTGTAAGAGAGAATTCAATAGGTGATGATTTTGAGGCCTGAAATGCCCAACAAGGTCTTTGTTTTATCCTCCCAAAGATTGGCTGAGTAAAAGACTCTATGTTGTAAATACTTTTCCTGAGAGCTTTGAGGATCCTCTTCCATAATCTTCTGGCCTTCAGTGTTGCTGATGAGAAGTCTTCGGCCCACTTCATAATCCTTTTGTAGACATTGGGAAGGAGTTACCCGTTAGGGACTTCACTGCTGTCCCACACTGTGTTTTGTATTGTTCTTTTCCCATTTCTGTGCTTGCCAAAGGAATTCTGGGTCACTATCCTTGTCTGCCCTCCAAAACCAAAGCCTGAGCTAAATCCTAGCTCACCAGTCGCCCCCCGCCCCCGCAGAGGGGTACTAGCCACTTGGAGATCCCTTCTCCCCAGCTGGGTCTGGGCATGACTATCCAGTCTGCAAGTATGAGTGGAAATAGGACCGGAGTCTTTTGATTAGTTTCTCTGCTGTCCACTCCACCACCATCCCAATCCCTCATTCATTCTGCTCTGAGCTGGCATTTGGTTGGGAAAAATGGTTCTCACATCTTCGGAGGGCCCTTCACTCCTGGTGGTGGTATGTTTCTCTTTCAGTCTGACTCTACTACTAATCTTGCCTAGAAATCACCCATCGTTTCTCGCTCACCAATGGCAACCTTCTCCCTGCCACTCATTTGCTTGGTGAGTAATTACTGAGGGCCTCCTGTATGCCAGATGGTGTGCTAGGCACCGTGGTTTTGGCACTGATCCAGGGAGACACAGCGTCTGGCCTCATGGACTTCACAGCTCAGCAAAGGAGGGATCTTAAACCAAGAACCACCGAAATATACTCAAGTTGGGAAAAGTGCCCTGAGGAAAAGCAGATGGCGCTGAGGGCTAAGGAGGGCCTCTGCACAAGTGGTGGTCCTAGGTACAACTTAGCTGAGGAGAAGGGAACAGGGGCGTGAAGAGTGGAAAGAACATTCCACACGGGAAAAGGCTCTGAGGCAGCATGAGTGGAGAAAAGACCAGGCTGTCCGGAATGCAGTGAACGAGGGGAGAGAGGAGGGACAGGCAGACACTCCCCCATCATATGTCACGCTTACCTGACCCATTCCACAAAAGGGGCAACCACAAAGAGCAAGATAACGCTAAGTCCTGCTGGAGACACACCTGCGCTTGACATTCTTTTATAATTTTATTGAGGCACGATCTGTGCTACATAAAAGTGTTGTATAGATTGTGTCCAAGTCATTGATTTTTCATAAATGTACTGAGTTGTGCAGCCATCACTATAATCCAGTTTTAGGACAGTTTGCCACCCCAGTGAGAGCTTCCGTGCTGTTTACAGTTAACATCTTTGTTTGCAACATGCACTAATGTGAAGTGACCTTTCCCTTTTAGGTCTTGCAGGTGGAACAGATATGCCCTTTTCAGAGGTTGTGAAGTTAGCTCCAAATCCCAGACTGGCTGCTACCCCAAGCCCCGGAGCTTCTCAGGTGAGAGACCATCAGAATTTGTTTGTAGCATTTGCATTATGAAAGCTGGCTAGGGTTTTTTCCCCTTACCAAAAAGCTCACCTGTGTTGAACTTGATGTGCTCAACTAAAGGAGAAATTCTGCTTTATTGAAATTATCAAGAAAATGGAGCAAAAGAGCCAGGTCGTCAGCTGCAAGTCACAGATGCTACTGATTTTATAGCCAGGGTCAGATGGATTGCTGGGCATTTTTTGTTTTGAGACAGTTTCACACTTGTCCCCCAGTTCAATGGCGCAATCTCGGCTCACTGCAACCTCTGCCTCCTGGGTTCAAGTAATTCTCCTGCCTCAGCCTCCTGAGTAGCTGGGGTTACAGGCAGGCACCACCACACCCAGCTTTGTATATTTAGTAGAGATGGGTTGCTCCAAATTGATTAAGCTGGTCTCAAACTCCTGACCTCAGGTGATCTGTCCGCCTTGGTGATCTGTCCAAAGTGCTGGGATTACAGGCATGAGCCACCGCACCTGGCCCTGCTGGACATATTTTTATTGCTTCATATGCCTCACGGTGGGCTCCTCCATGTCACTGGGCTATAAAAGCTACTGAAAGGATGTGTCACTGAAGCTCAAGACATGCACTTCAGCACTCACATCTCAAGTCTGGATCCAGGAGAGCTGTGCCGTCACCCAGGCCAGGAAGTCCCTATGAAGGCAGACCTCACTTGTTGCAGGTTGGGTTTCTCAGAAAGCAGCGTATGAGATGTCAACTAAGAAGTATGAGGTTTATGGGAGTGGGAGAATCCCACCCCCTCTTGGAATTTTCAACTATAGAAAGGAAAGGGAGTAGAGAGGATTGGACGGAGGGAGAAGGGGAGCGGCAGTGCAATATCTGGAGCCTACTCTAATCCCGCAGAAGCTCCGAGATGACCTTTAGAGTTTGACCCAGTTGGGCTAAGGGGGCCTTTATACCCCATGACAATCAGTCATGGCATGTGGGCCGCCCCAGGCTGGGGTGAGGCAGCTCTTTATAGCTAAAGTGGTCTCCAAAGAGGGCTGTCAGCTGAGGGCTGTCTGCCAACAGCACTCTCAGCAGTTGGGAGAATAAGTTCTTCATTCCCAAGGTGAATCTGGATGGCACACACAGCACCCACGACACCACTGTACCTGTTTGTAGGAGGGTCTTGCAGCCCAGCAGCAGCGGTGGGTGGATCTTGGAAGGAACTTTGAAGGCGCTGAGATTTACCTGACTTGCAAGCTAAGAAATGAGCCTGCTACAGTTTCCTAGTGGCAGGTAGAAAGCACAGTACTCCTGGGTCAGAGACAAAGGCTTTCTTGCTCATGGTACATCAGGAAGCAGGAGCTTCATGCTCATCAGTTTCCCTTGGCCCCCAAATTCCACACGGTGTTGCAAAGTGGGCCCAGGTGGATACTGTGCACGTAATAGTCTGTGATAAACCAAATGATCCCGAGCATAGAAAACTCCCAACCTTATAAAGGAACTGCAAGCAAACCTGCCCAAACTTTGCCTCCAAAGGAGACATTATCCTTCTTTTTCTTGTCAGCAAACAAATTTTCCCTCTACTCTGGAGAGAGACACTATCTCTAAGTCTCTGTGCTTTACAGACATCCTTGAAGAGATAGTATGAAACAAAAGCTGTCACAGACATGTAGAAACACCATGGAGAACTGCCTCCCAGCACATCCTGGAAGCAGGAGCTCATGCTGTCCAGGAGAACAGACAGACCACACACACAGGTGTGCCCGAGCATCTGTAATTTTTCTGTGTGAGAGGTCCCGTTTCTCTTATGTTTGAGAGGCCACTCGATACACTGGAAAGATTCTATGTTGAGACAAAGGGCATTTATGTTCTGATTCTTATTCTGCTTCTACTTCACCATGTGACCTTAAGCAGTGCTCCTTGGCTCCAGACCTCTGTTTGTTTATCTGTGAAGTGGGTATAACATCTGTCCTGCCTCCTTTTAATCTGCTAATTGTGAGGCTTAAAAAGAATCCTTGACCAGAATGGCTTTAGAATGTGACAGGAAATCTGGAGGTAGAACTGTTCAGTGATTCCGCAGAAGGGCCCCCAGTCATGTTCCCTGCGATTCCTCAGGCCAGCAGTAGACAGTGGGAACATAATGTGAGTCACATACGTCATTTCAAATTTTCTGCTCCTCTCATTTTTTAAAGTAGAAATAAAAAGAAATGATTTAAATTAACTTTAATAATATATTTTATTTAATCTACTGTATCTGAAATATTGTCATGTCAACATATAATAAATTAGAAAAGTTAAACTAATGTGGGGCCGGACGCAGTGGCTTATACCGTAATCCCAGCACTTTGGGAGGCCAAGATGGGCAGATTGCTTGAGCCCAGGAGTTTGGGACCAGCCTGGACAGCATGGCAAAACCCCATCTCTACAAAAAAAAAAAAAAAAAAAAAAAAAAATTAGCTGGTCATGGTAGTGCATGCCTGTAATTCCAGCTACTCAGGAGGCTGAGGTGGGAGGATCACTTGAGCCCAGGAGGTGGAGGTTGCAGTGAGCTGAGAGCAAACCACTGCACTCCAGCCTGGGAGACAGAGACCTTGTCTCAAAAAAAAAAAAAAAAGTTACTAACGTGATACTTTACATTGTCTTTATTGCATGAAGCTTTTGAAATGTGGTGTGCATTTTCTACTTATAGTTCTGGGCATGCCTCCAGTACGCAAAGGTCTGCATGGCTTGTGGCTGCTGTGTCAGATAGTGCAGCTCTGGGTGTGTCCACATGGAGAGAGGATCCTGTAGCTGCCCCAGACATCATGTTGTCACAGCTCTATTCAGAGGCAGAGGTCAGCGGGCGGCACTGGGCAGACAGTCTCTCCTCATACACCTGCTCACCAGGGAGAAAAATACTGGCCTGTCCCTCCCCTGCCTCACACCCCCTCAACAGGCCACCACTTGGTCGTCTGGTCAATTCTAGTTGTGGGAAAGGCTAGGGTAAGGTCTGGCTGTTTCAGTCTATCTAGAAGAAAGCCAGCCAGGAGGAAGGTAACGGGAAAGTTTTAGGGCAGCACAGCAGCGTCTGCCTCAGGTAGAGTCCGGAGTGAGATCCTCTGAGCTGTGCGGGCCCCGTCACTCTTCCTGGCCTGGCCGCGGCCAAAATCACTGACAGCTCATGGAACCCTTTACCGTTGGATACAAGTGTAACCTCAAACGCCCTCGCAGCAGCGGGTTGCAAGCGGTGACCGTCTATATGATTGTCAGCATACGTGACTTATATGCAGCCTGAATTTGTGGTCTGGAGTTAAACTCCTCGAGAGCAGGGCCACATCTGTCACTCTCTCTGTGGCTTCTACAGCACTGCTTGTGCTCCAGGGGAAATTCAAAGCAGTAAGAACGTTTTCTCCCTTGGCTCAGCTGAACATTGCAGTTTTCTCCATCAGGAAAAATCAAAGCCCTTTAACTTTGTTCTCTTGACTCCTGAATGTCCCATACAGGCTAGGACAACCTTGGGCCCCTCACTGTGGGCCTCTTTATAAAGGTCACCTGTTATCGTCTGCTTTATTTTACTCATGGCATCTATTCCCAAGTACTTCACAGGTAGTTCACAGAGTAGAGCCAGAAAGAACACTGGCTGTGTCACCCTCATTTGGAAGAGGAATGGAATTTATCCCCCAAGCCCTTCTAGATAGCACAGATTCGCTGTGGATTTAGAAGTCAGCAGGTGCCCTGTCTCTGGCTCTGACATTCTGTGCAACTGCCCTGAGCCTTCTCAGACTGAGCTGCTCCAGCTGCATCAAGAGTAGGCCCCAGTTGCATAAACTGTTAAAATACTTGATTTCCAGCTAGGTGCGGTGGCTCATGCCTATAATCCCATCACTTTGACAGGCCAAGGTGGGCAGATCATAAGGCTAAGAGAGTGAGACCATCCTGGCCAAGACGGTGAAACCCCATCTCTACTAAAAATACAAAAAATTAGCTGGGTGTGGTGGCATGCGCTTGTAGTCCCAGCTACTCGGGAGGCTGAGGCAGGAGAATCGCTTGAACCCGGGAGGCAGAGGTTGCAGTGAGTCAAGATCACGCCACTGCACTCCACCTGGTGACAGAGTGAGGCTTCATCTCAAAAACAGAACAAAACAAAACAAAGAAGTACTTGACTTCTGGCTGGTGGCGGTCGTTTACACCTGTAATCCCAGCACTATGGGAGGCCAAGGCAGATGGATCACATGGGGTCAGGAGTTCAGGACCAGCCTGGTCAACATGGCAAAACGTCATCTCTACTAAAAGAAAACAAATACAGAAATTAGCCGGGTGTTGTGGCACGCACCTATAGTCCCAGCTACTTGAGAGATAAAGGGATGAGAATCACTTGAACCCAGGAAGCAGAAGCTGTAGTGAATCAAGATTGCACCACTGGACCTCCAGCCTGGACAACAGAGCAAGACACTGTCTCAAAAAATAAAAAAAACAAAACTTAACTTTGGAGCAAATTAAACCAAATTAAGAAGGAATGGAGTTGGCATGAGCTCCCACGGTGTTTACTCGGCCGAGTCCCAGGAAAATCCGGGTGCCTTGGTCTTCGGTATTGTTTGTCTGTAAGACAGCGTGTGCTCACGTGCAGTGCATGTGCGTTTCTCAGGTGAGATGGACAGCCCCAGGGGAAGACTGTTTAGAGTGATAAAATAAGGGTTAGAATGTGAGGTTGTGTTTCTTTCTGGTCCTTTTTCTCTGTTGGGCTCTGCGTTTGTTTTGGCTTATTATATAGCACTGTGTGTGTAATTTTATAGCTTGCTTACAATTTATAGATTACAACATAAATATTTTCATTCTTAAAAATGTATATGCATGCCATTTTTAGTGACTGTATAATACTCTATCTGGCTAGACCAAGCACAGTGGCTCATACCTGTGATCCCAGCCCTTTGGGAGACTGAGGCAGGAGGATCACTTGAGGCCAGGAGTTGGTGACCAGCCTGGGCAAACATGAGATCTTGTCTCTACAATAATAATAATAATAATGGTAATCTGGCAAATGAACCAGTTTACTTGAGCATTTTTCATGTCTCAGTGCCGTTGCTTTTTGTTTTTCAATTATAATTAAGTCTTTGCAGATAAAAGATTTTTTTAACCCTTTCCTGTTCTACATGAAAATTTGACCTTTGGGTGACTGTCTAGCTCTGTTTCCCTTGAGATCTCATACAAGTAGAATATCAACAGTTTTACTAGGGCAGCATTGCTTATGTAAAAATGGCCTTTGCTTGGGAAACTGCATCTGGACTCAGAAGATTGCAGCTGCCTGGTGAGAAGTCTTCGTCAGGGCTTCATCAGGCACAGTGACTCCTCCTGGGCGTGCCTCCTGCCTGCTGAGTTGTTATGGGAGATACTCTTGCGGGGCATGAAGTTCTGAAGCCAGGGTCATTCTTGCCTCTGTACGATGTGGATCTCAACTCTGTGCCTAGGCTGTAACCTGGTTGGGAGGCAAAGCGGCCCCCTCCTGAACAGCCGTGGAACCGCCGTGTGGACCGCTACACGGTCTTCCATTGGAGAGGAGCACCTGCCGCCACTGTGTTCTCCAGGCTGTCCTCTCTTAGCTCATGGTGGTCTCATACGTCTGAATGTTTAGTGGTATCAAAGAAGACCCTTGGTGGACTTGGCATCCTACATTTAGGACTATTTCCTTAGGAGAGCTTCACTGAAGTAGAATAACTGGGTCCCACACTATGGCCTCCTTAATACATAAAGTCAAGTCTGGCCAGGTGCCGTGGCTCATGCCTGTAATCCCAGCACTTTGGGAGGCTGAGGCGAGTGGATCACGAGGTCAGGAGTTCAAGACCAGCCTGGCCAAGATGGTGAAACCCTGTCTCTAATAAAAACTACAAAAATTAGCCAGGCACAGTGACAGGCACCTGTAATCCTAGCTACTCAGGAGGCTGAGGCAGGAAAATCACTTGAACCCAGGTGGTAGAGGTTGTTGCAGTGAACCGAGATCGCACCACTGCATTCCAGCCTGGCGACAGAGCGAGACTCCATCTCCAAAAATAAAAATAATAATAATTTTTAAAAGTCAAGTCTATTTCCAAAAGAGTTGTACCACCAACTTTCACCAGCTATTTCTAGGTACTTTCACCAGAATTTTTTTAAAAAAACTTGTAGATTTGATCATAAACATTGGTTTCTTGTCATAATTTATGGTTTAAGAAAATCTTAAACTATAGGTTTGAGAAGTACTAGCATTTCCTCTTTTGTGAATTGATGCTTGCTTTCTTTTGCCCAGCAAAAAAGTTAAATTGCAAGTAAATGGGATTTAAAAATTTTAAATTGCAAGGTGCAACCAGATGTAAGAGGCATTTCCTGCCTCCCTGTTCTAAACTGCTTTTTCTGCTCTTCTAGGTCTATGAGGCCCTCCTCCCCAAGTTCGCCAAACTTGAGCAGAGAATCTTGTCTCAGACCCGGGGGCCTCCAGAGTGAACAGGAATCCATCCTTGTTGCCCCTGCCTGCCCAGATTTACTGACCCCACTTGGAGACATGGCCTGCACAGCAGGGCTCCCTTCCCTGCTCTGAACAGCTCCTCCTGCCCATGCTGACTCCTTGGAGTGTCCGGCCTCGGCACATCTGCCTGAAGATAGATAGGCACTTGTGCCCTTGTGTTCCAGGGCAGGAAAGCATCTCTCTTGTCCTGTCTTTCATCCCAGGAGACAGGACAACACTGAGACTGGGATATGTCCAATAAAAACCATGACTTTTCCCCTCGAAGAGGCAGAATTAAAGCTGATCCAGGGACTCAAATCAGCAGACTGGGGGAGACAAAGCCCTCTCTCACTCCCGACCTCATCCTTTCTCTTTCTCCAACCCTGACTCTCTGCTCACTCCTCCCAAACCATGACCCACAGCCACCCCCACCCCATACCTTGATCCTACTGTCCATCCTCTCCCCTAATCCACACCCCACAGCCCCTTCCCTCCCATGCCCTACCCTCCTCGTTTCAGCTGTCTGAGATGCCTCCCAGGGCTTCTCTTACCCACCCATGCTCACCCTCTCCATGCTTCCCCATTTTCTCCTTTCAGCATCTCTTCCTTTTCCCTCCTTCATCCCTCCCTCCCCACACTCACCTGGCGTAATTCACTACCTCCCACCCAAACCATGTACCTGGTGGATGTGCTTCCTGTGCCCTCCCTTCGCTCTGCCCACAGATCACTTGAGAGGGGCCATCTCCCAAGTGGCACAGTTTAGAACTTCTCTCCCTTTTTCTCCCTCACTCCCCATCTGTCTCTTCTTACAGTCCGCTTATTGAAGAAATTGTTATCATTTCTCTGGAAGATTTCTCTTTTATTTTGGAGTATTTCATCAGCTGAAAAGTGATTCTCACTTTGAGTTTTCATCCTGTATTTGTATCACGAGTTCCTTTTTCCTTTCTCTGAAACTTATCTGCGGGATTTTGCCACTCTGGGTGAGACCTGGTGGATCAAAGCAGTAGCTAGTGAGGAGTTGAAAGGAAGGGGCTTAGAAATTGAGTGGGACAGAGGCATCACTTCTGATGGAGATGACACCATCTTGAAAGGGAGTGGTGTCTTTTGGAGGCATGGTGGATGAAACAGGGCAAAGGAAGAAAGAGGTTCAAGATAACAGCCCATTAGATACAACAGCGAGCCCAAGATTCCGAAGAAAACAGACAACTCCCCCTATTAGCACCTAGACATTACTTTTTAAAGACATTTTTCATTATTGACCAGGAGAAGAAGGCTGTCTTGGACCGTGAAACAGTAAACTGTAACAAAACACTCCAACATGAATTTGAAAATAAAATAATAGTGGATATAAAAGAACACCACAGATCAGAAATTCAAAAACTCAGAATAAAAATGAAAAAGCTGCAAGCATATGTGAGAAGAGAACTGACTGAACTTGGGAAATAACTTGAACAAAGATAAATCACAGATATGAAGGCTAAATTATAATATATCTTAATGAAAATAGATATGGCCACAAGTACAGTATGGCACATAGGAGGTAGGAGTAAGAAAAGCTATGAGAGCAAAACAAAAACAATATTAAAGGAAGAGCCAAAAAGACTCAGAAATAAAATGATAAAATGGTCAAAGCAAAGGTGATTGAGATAAAATTGAAATTCTTGAAGACAAAAGACAGTAGAATGGAGTTAATATTTAAAATTCAAATACTAAAATTCAAATAAACCCAAAAGAACTTTCTGAAAACAAAAGAAAACCTGAAACTGTGTCTTGAAAGGGTCTATCTTGTTAGGTAGAATGTTGATGCAGAATGATCAGCTGAGACATATCCTACCAACTATACTTTGAAGGCAAAGAAAAAAAACTGAACTTCTAAGCCAAAAGACCTAGTCTCTTACAAAGGAAAGATCTGGTTGGCCTCAGACTTCTCAACAAAGCAAGATAGCAATGGGGCAACTTTTTCAAGGAACTCATAGTGTGAACTAACTAAGGATTTCGTATCCAGCCAAGCTGTCCTTTAACAATCAAGGGTATGGGAAGAAGTTTTAATTAGGAAAGAGCCCTGGGAATATTATACTCACAACTTCTTCCTTAGGATTCTACTAAAAGACAGGCTTCATCCAACCAGGAGATGATTAGGGAAACCTGAGCAAAAGGACTAGAGATGACCGTTGAATGTCTTTTTTTTTTTTTTTTTTTTTTTTTTTTGAGATGGAGTCTCCCTCTTGTTGCCCAGGCTGGAGTGCAATGGCATGATCTCGGCTCACTGCAACCTGCACCTCCCAGGTTCAAGCGATTGTCCTGCCCCAGCCCCCTGAGTAGCTGGGATTACAGGCGCCTGCCACCATGCCCAGCTAATTTTGTGTATTCTTAGTAAAGACGGAGTCTCAGCATGTTAGTCAGCCTGGTCTCAAACTCCTGACTTCTGGTGATCCACCCGCCTTGGCCTCTCAAAGTGCTGGGATTAGAAGTGTGAGCCACCACACCTGGCCTTGAATAACTTTAGTTGTAGATCTGAGGCCAAATGGAAGTGGGGATACGGGTGGAAGAACAGTGTTAGTCCATTCTCACACCATTATAAAGATAGAACCCGGCCGGGCATAGTGACTCACTCCTATAATCCCAGCACTTTGGGAGGCTGAGGCGGGAAGATCACCTGAGGTCAGGAGTTTGAGACCAGTCTGGCAACATGGTGAATCCCCGTCTACTAAAAATACAAAAATTGCCAGGATATGGTGGTGTCTGCCTGTAATCCCAGCTACTCGGGAGGCTGAGGCACTAGAATTGCTTGAAACTAGGGAGCAGGGGTTGCAGTGAGCCAAGATCATGCCACTTCACTCCAGCCTGGGCGACTATGTCTTAAAAAAAAAAAAAAAAAAAGATAGTACCTGACACTGGGTAATTTATAAAGAAAAGAGGTTTGACTCACAGTTCCACATGGCTGGGGAGGCCTCAGGAAACTTGTAATCATGGTGGAAGGTGAAGGGGAAGCGAAGACCTTCATTCACACAGTAGCAGGAAAGAGAGAGCATGCGTGCACAAGAGAGCAAGCAGGGAAAACTGTCTTATAAAACCATCAGATCTCATGAGAACTCACTGTCATGAGAACAGCATGGCGGAAACCACCCCCATGATCCAGTCACCTCCCACCAGGTCTCACCCTCAACACCTGGGGATTACAATTCAAGATGAGGTTTTGGTGGGAACACAAGGCCTAATCATATCAAATAGTATCAAATGGTATATGCTTTGACAAGGCAGAAGTAGCAAAACAAAAAAAAGGAGAGAAGAGGAAAGTACAGGGAGCTACTTGTTGCTTAGGCTGTAGGTGGAAGTCAAAGAATATTAAAGTTGACAAACCAAATATATGAAGTATAAATAAGGAAAAAGGGAGATTTAGAGCATTAAAGGTGTACTATGCTATTAAAAGTACCGGTACAGAATACATGGTATAATCACTAGAATAAAAATGTACATCTCCATCAGGGCTCAAAGAAACAATAATAAAGGCAATAGATCACAGTGAAAAACATGCAGTAAGTGATACAATAAATATATTAAGTCCAAGCATGTAAGTTAAATCAGTGCATGTGAAAGGACTTAACCTATTAAAAGAAAAGGAACTTCAGATTGGCTTACAAACCAGCGTCTTACTGTCTGTTATTTATAAGAGACACATTTAAAATAGTGATTCAGAGAGGCTAAAAATAAAAAGAGAGATGGGCAAAAATAGACCAGGCAAGTAGGACCACAAAGGGCAGAGATTACAATATCCATATCTGACAAAGTAGAATTCAGGAAAAAATAGGCAAGACAATGAAGGATACATTCAAATGCTAAATGCCACAATTCACAGTGAAGATATACTACTTACGAGTGTTACAGCAGCCGCTATCTGGTTTGTCAGCTTTAAATGGTGTTCTTTGGCTCCCACCTATTTCCTGTACAGCAAAGAGCTCTTTGTACTTTCCTCTCTACCTCCTTTTTCACTGTTTCCGTTGTGGTACCTCTGCCTTGTCAAATCGCGTAACATTTGCATAACAAATTATGTGAGGAAAAAAGAAACCTAGAAATAACAGAAAACTTTAACACGCCGCTCCTTCATCCAAGACTGAAGTGAAGGAGACAAAATAGAGTATATAAGGAGACAAGTGATCTAAATAACAGTATCTGTAAAGTAGATGTAATGAGTATATGTTGAACCTTCTACCTTGATAATAAGAGTTACTCTAGGCCAAGTGTGATGGCTCACACCTGTAATCCCTGCATTTTGGTAGGCTGAGGTAAGTGGATTGCTTAAGCTCAGGAGTTCGAGACCAGCTTGGGCAACATGGTGGAACCCCATCTCTACAACAACAAAAGTAGAAAAATTAGCCAGGCATGGCAGCAGGAGCCTGTAGTCCCTAGGAACTTATGTTTCTTCTAGGAATCATAAGATTGTTGTCTCACGCAGCCTGACACACCTGGCATGTCAGTGATTAAACCCATCGGGAGCAATCTCAAAAATAATTGTGAGTGAGGCTTTCGGTACATAGAGCAGACTCCAATTAGATACGTAAAACCCACAGTACACTTTAGGAAGCTATCCTAATGGCATTAACCTGGATTAAAAGGGACTAAATGTTAAAAGACTGAACCCCCAACTTTGTGTGGGCAACAAGCAGGCATAGTTGCTCTTTTAGGCAGTTTCTAGTGCCCTCTTCAGAAGTGGTCAAGGAAACCAGTGGAATGGGGAAGATGCCATAGAGGGTGAAGCCAAAAGCCAAAGAAAACAATAGATTGGCATGCTGCTTCCAGCGTGGCAGACAAACTCTAGCATTGCTTCCAGTGGTCCTCCTGCCTCAGTCTGGTTTCAGTTGCTTAACCTCTCTCAAGCATAGTAACCTACGATCAGTTGACTCAAGTGAACTCACCAAACTCATGGATTTCCTTATATCACCTGTCTTCTTCCATGTGGTTAAATCCACGGTGAGATACCTGTTTGGTGTTGGCATGTTGGCAAGTATTTGATCACAAGAGAAGAAACTTAAAAAAAAAAAAAAAAACACAAACAACCGAACTCCACATTACATCAAGATATGAGAGTTTTGTTTCTTTTTTCACATGAGTTTCTAATCTGGGCGATTCACAAAAGACGAGCTATCTCTGCCTCTCTCAATCTTTCTCTCTCTCCCAACATCTGATGGCAGCCACACTCTGTCCTCCCACCAAAAAGAGAATAATGTGTACCTTTTTTTTTTTTTTTTTTTTTTTGAGGTGGAGTCTTGCCCTGTTGCCCAGGCTGGAGTGCAGTGGTGCAGTCTCATCTCAGCTCACTGTAAACTCCACCTCCTGGGTTCAAGTGATTTTCCTGCCTCAGCCTCCTGAGTAGCTGGGACTACAGGTGCGTGCCACCATGCCCAGCTAAATTTTTGTATTTTTAGTAGAGACAGGGTTTCACCATGTTAGCCAGGATGGTCTCAACGTCCTGATCTCATGATTGGCCCACCTCAGCTTCCCAAAGTGCTGAGATGACATGAATTTGTACCTTTTATTTGGTCAGCCCCTTTGTTTTCTGCAACCGCTGTCTTATGCCTTCCGTCAAATCCATCTAGGAGTCTGGTCCCTGACCACCTTTTCAGTCTAACCTACCCCACCAGTCTCAGCAGGGAGGTGCCACAGGTGGCAGAGCAGGAAGTCCCCTGAAAGTCATGGGATGGATGTTGTTTGACTCCTTCAAATCCTGCTGACCTGTCTGGCTCCCATCTGTCTTAAAGAAGCACCTTGTATTCATTTGAGGAATAGCAAGTTGGCTTGGCTCCTGATGAGGGAGAAGTGCTCCACAGTGAATGTGGTAAACACCCAAATGATGTCTCAGGTAGACCTCATAATCCTTGCACTCTGAGCCTCAGAGTGTGGGCTAAGGTTGTACTGGACTGAGCATAGAAAGTCAACACCAAGACAAAAGTATGCCAAATTACAGGGTTTATTATGCCAGCGACCACAGAGGACTCCAGTCTCTCCAACCCATGGCGGGAAAAAGGAGGGTTCCAATGCTTTTTATACCCGAAAAGCCACTTTGGGAGTGGGGGCGAAGAGCGGGGATGGGGCTTCAGACATTCCAAGGGCCAGTGGATTCTGTAACTCATCTCCTGGGTGGAGACGGGGGATCCGGACATTCCGAGGGCTCGGGGACTTTTGTCATTCCGTTTAAGTGGTTTACAGAAGTCAAGATAAACATTAGTTTATACATTATCTGGGTAGGGTGGAATTCACAGACCTGAGTTACTTATTACGAGTCGCAGGAGCCAGGATGGAATTAGATGGGGATGCTTATTCTGGTTATTACCGGTAAGCAAAAGGCTAGCAACTCT